TCAGTTGCTGTCATGATTGAGCCAGCCTGGTGCCTTGTCCTTACCCTTATGTGAAGGGGTTAGTGTCTCCATTTCTTAAGTTCAGACTTCCTAGAGCCCTCCATGGAAGCAGCTGCTTGTGTTCTGTTTGAGGGCATGTGTGTGTGTGTGTGTGTGTGTGTGTGTGTGTGTGCGCGCGCGCATACCTCCCACACTCCCACACGCTGGATGGGCAGGCTGGGGCCAAACAGCTTTAAGTTGTACAACAGTAGGTCCTTGTCCCGGCCGCAGGATGGCAGACAAGTTCGTAACCTCTCCTTCAAACTAGGAGCCTTGTTGTCATTTGATTATTAGTGGTGGCAGTATGCTATGCCTTCTGATCACATGCCTTCCTTGATCTCACGTCTGTCTCACTCTTTTCCCTCTAATGCAGGGCCTGGCGAATGTTTTCTTGAAGGACCAGATAGTAAATATTTCAGGTTCTGTTGGCCACACCTCCTTGTCACAACCACTTGACTTTGCCGCTGTATTGCAGAAGCAGCCACAAAGTGTAAATGAGGGGTGTGGCTGTGTGCCAATAAAACTTTATTTACAAAAACAGGCCCAAGGGCCACAGTTTGCCAATCCCCGCTGAGGTGTTCTTTAAACAGGTATTCTAGGCCAGGACAGAGACAGCCTTGTCCCAGAGTCTGTGTATGAGGATGGAGGATGGCTGAGCAGGAGCGTTTGGGGGTCTTTGTTTAGCCAACCTCAGAATTTCCTCACATGTCAGGGAAGGCTGTGAGGAGACAGCCCTGGGCCAGCGGTCCACAGTCAGAGCAGATATTACCAAGTGGTAAAAAGTGAGGTCTCTTCTGCACGCTAGTGACTGTCCCAGTTGGGCTTATTTTGCAAGTGATGGTTACTGTCCCATCTTACAGAGGAGGCGGCGAGCCTGGAAGGGGTGCTGTTTGCCCCAGACCATGTGCCTGCCAGGCACTCTACACAGTGGTGGACTAAGCAGCTTTGGTGGAGGTCTCTGGGGAAGAAAGAAGCCGGGGGTAGATTGGGACTGTCCCCTTTCTGCACCTCGGTTTGGTGCTCTCCACCTGTTGCCCTGGGATAGCCTTTCATTGTAGACTGTGTGTCACCCTCTCCTGCCCCACCAGCCCTCCCTGCACGGCGTAGCCCTCAGCAAATGTTCATTAGTAGAGTCGGGGGAAAGCCTTGGTGCCCTCTTGGGAAGTAGGGGTTCTGCAGACAGAGGGCTGTTGGGTCATTAATTCATCACAGAACCTGACCTCTGGTTTTGGCTGGGTTCTGTCCTTGGGAAGCCCACAATGAATGAGGAGACAGACTGAGTCAGGAAGCCCAGCAGCTGCAACAAACAGCTCCGCATCTCAGAGGCCGGGCTTGTTACTGGCTCACAACACAGTGCTGTACACAGGTACCTGTCCCAGCTCTCTGGGACCTCTCTGCTCCAGACAGTGACTCAGGGGCCTCCACCCCTCCACCCTCACCAGAGTTGCCCCACCCCCACCCCCTTGGTCAAGGATGCAGACCAGAAGCACCATGGGTGGGTGGTGGCCGTCAGCCGGCCTGGCGGGACGTGGGTCCCTCTGATCACGTCCCATAGCCCAGAATCACGGCCGCACCGAGCTTCCAGGTGGCTGAGAAGTGTTGTGCCATGTGACCCCGGGGAGGAGAAGAGGCAGGTCATGGTCTCCGCCACAGACCTGTGCTCAGAGGGGCTAAGGAAATTAGCATCCGAACGGGGACGTGAGTGCGTGAGGGTGCCTGGGAAGGCGTGTGGCCTGGGCTGTGTCAGCAGAGCCACACAGCCACTGTGTGATGACTGCCATTACCTGAGCACCCTGTGTGCCAAGCTGTCCCCCCTGCTGTTAGTGGCTTCAGGGTCCTTGATGGTATTCTGTTCACTTTACAGAGGAGAAACAGAGCAGTGAAGTGATTTTCTTTGGGGCGTACAGCTAGGAAGGGTGGGGAGGGAGTGGGACCCAGCCCCCCAGGCTCGGGTGCGGGTCTGCTCAGCTCTAGAGCACGTCTGATGGGGCTACGGGGTCCTCCCTGGTGAGCAGGAGTGTGGCCACTCAGGTGGACAGGGGCCCGGGTGCTTCTCTGGTGAGTGTGAATGGGTGAGTGAGCCACAGCTCCCCAGTCTGGCTTTGGGAGAAAGCCTGCTGCCCTGCCCTGATGCAATTTCCTACAGAAATCTGCAGCTTGGGCCACAGTCCATGTCTGCCCACTCCTGCCAGCTCCTCCCTGCTGGGGGGGGGGGCCTCCTCGCAGGCGGCAGCACCAGAGGACGGTGGCAGGGGTGCAGCCCCGGCCCAGCTGGCGGCTGTGTCTGTGGCCCACGTGGGTCTTCCCTGCTCACATTCTCTTGGACCAGAGGAGTCGCTCATTTTCTGGTGGGGCAGCATTTTCACAGAGGGAGCAGCTCCTGGGTCCCTAGGACGGTGGGTGTGCCCGGGCATCCAGGAGGGACACCGAGGGTGGGCTGGGGCCACAGGAGAGTGGGGGTGTGGGGCGGAGGCCTGGCGGGGGGATGGTACCAGGGGCCTCGGTGTGCCCCCCGGGCAGCAGCCAGGCAGTTTCTAGAGAGGGGTACCAAAATGCAGGGAGAGTGTATTCCGAGAGTAGAGGACACAGGTTGGTTCATGCAAAGCCACGGGCTCTGCTGTTCCCTGCGTCCCCATGATCAGTCTGTGTGCTGCCAAGAGCGCTTGGGCTGCAAGGGGTCTGTGGCTCTCTGATCGCCCCCTCCGGCCCCCGGGGAGGCACGGAGCTGGTTCCCCAGCTGCCCACTCTGTGGGGTTCCCTGCAGGCCCATCCTGCCTGCTCTGTAGACCCCAGTATGTTGGAGGCCTGACTTCTGGCTGCAGTCAAGCCCTGCTGCCAAGGCACCTCCCTGGGCCAGTGGAAGGGAGCTCGGGGATGTGGCTGTGGGGGCCGTGCAGACATCTGGGGCCCTGATGTGGGTACAGACCCGGCTGCTAAGAGGGGGCCCAGAGCACGTCAAGCCCTGACCCATTTATATTCTAGGTCCGAGACAAACAGTGCTCGGTAAACAGGCAAAGAAACTGAATGCCAGGACAGCAGAGGGGGTGAGGAACCGAGATGGACACTGAGGGGGCCCCCAGCTGGCGGCCAGGGAGCCTGTGAGGGTGACCTCTGCACCCAGATGAGTGGAGAAAGGGGACGCCAAACGTGGGGGGCTAGAGCAGCCCAGGAGGAGCTAGGAGAGGTGGTGAGAAGTCCCTGGAGGGTTCCAGAGCAAAAGCTGCTAGGATGCTCTGGCTTCTGGGGCCATGGGGGGAACACGGGGAGCCAGGATGGACACAGGGGATGTCCAGGAGGATGGGTGGGTGGGCCGGTGGTCTGTCTGCCCCTCTGCTCATAGCTCCTCAGAGTGGGGCTAAGGACCCCCCAGAACCACAGCTCCGAGGCCTCAGGCTCTCTGGGCCACATCCCTCGCTGACCCTGTGGGGAGCAGTGATGTCTGCTAACCCTAGTACAGGGAGGGGGCAGAGGGCTGGGACCCCTGGTGCTCTCAGGTTCCCCACCAGGAGCCTGCGTCTGTGCCTGGGGTCACTGCCCCATCGCCTAGCACCCCAGGCTCAGCAGGAGGCCCATCCTGCACCAGGCACCCCCATCCCATAAACACCCATCAAGGGGAGGTTGGAAGTGAGAGCTCAGAGGATCCCCAGCCCCCATGGACAGTCTGCCTGTGGGGCTGGGCACGGGTCCCTCAGGATGATGTAGCTGTTTTTCTCCCGAAACTTCTCTATTCTGGGTGCCACTTAGAAGTGACCTGCCTCCCTCATCTCCACTTCCTCTCTAGACCCTAGAGCAGGTCACACGCCCCACGGGCGCCTCGGGGACAGCGACAGGGATGCTGTGAGTGGGGCCTGTCATCACCAGAACCCCTGTGCTCAATTGCTCAGCCCACCACTCCCTGTGTCCCTCTCAGTTCCCGCAACAAGCCGGCCCTTGTCTCCCCATGCAGGCAGGGAGGGAAGCTGGGGACCAAGGCAGGGTGGGTGCCCTCGGGCCACTGTGAGTCTGGGGCAGGGGCCAGCCACCCCCAGGGCCAGGGCTGCTGGGTCCTTGGTCCAGGAACCAGAGGGGCCTGGTGCACCGGCCCCCACACCCACACCTGCCCATTCACACTCATGTGTGCACACCCACACCTGCTCACTCACACATGTGCACACCCACACCTGCCAACTCACATCTGCACACGCCCTGCAAACACTTCTAGCACAGAGCTTGGGCCTGTGATGAGGCCTTTGGTATCTGAGGAGAGGCTCTGGCCTCCTGGCATCTGACTTAAACCAGCCTGATGCAGGAGAAGCTTTACTTACAAGGGGAAGGTGCTTCAGAGACCATCGTCCCTTCTGAGCACTCGCTCTGAGCCTCCCTCCTTCGGCCTCTGGCTCTCACTCAGTTACTAGGATGGGGCGTGCAGAACGCAGACAGTCCCGGAGCCGCTTCCAGGGCCCAGTATATCGTGTCACGTTCCACTGTGCTCGGTTGCCGTGGATCAATACGAAAAATTGCAAATGGGCCGGCTTTTGCAAATGAATTGCAAATGAAAAGTGGGCCGACTTATACCTGGACCTGCTTGCCCAGTTAGGTCAAGCAGCCATCAGCACCCTGCGCGTTGCTGCGTCCACTCATGCACACACGTGTTCCCGTTGCACTTTGAGGGTGAGACATCAAGGTGTGTCCGAGTGCGTGGGCACGTGGCCCTGTCATGATCGAGTGCCATCGTCCAGCACATCTCCCATGGCCATGCGTTGTCCACTTGGGTGTCCGTGGAGCAGCTAGGACATCGGGGATGGGGCTGCTCACCTGTGGCAGGTGGGAGGGACCTCACATGGGACAGAGCCCGTGAGCCTCAGGGATCTCCTTGCCAGCCTCCCTTTGCAGGGATGGGCAGACAGAGGCGAGAGTCCCGGCCCTGCTCCATTCCCTGGGTCGGAGCCTCCCTGAGCAGACATCTGGCCTTTGCCTTTCAGATCCTGATTGGGCTTCCTACACCCTGGGGGTGTTCATCTGTCTCAGCTGCTCCGGAATCCACCGGAATATCCCCCAGGTCAGCAAGGTGAAGTCTGTCCGCCTGGATGCCTGGGAGGAGGCCCAAGTGGAGGTATGGGCCTGCGAGGGGGTGGGGTGGGGGTGGCCGTGAGTGGGAGGATCCCCTGTAGTCCTGCTGCCACCTGGGTGTCCTGGGCCTGGCCCCCCGGTCAGACACCCTGAAGGTCCCTTTACCCTTGCTCCAGACTCCTGACTGGGACTAACACTGCAAGGGGGGGGAGTTGGGAGGGATAGGGTAGGGGAGCGGGAGGGGCAGGGGGAAGACAGGGGTTGTAGGAGGGGTGGGGAGAGAGGCAGGAGGGATGGGATGGGGAGGGGGGATGGGTGAGGGTGAGAGGGCAGAGAGTGAGGGCCGGGGGCCAGGCGGGGTCAAAAGGACCTTTGTGTCCTGTGCCCTTGGCCTCCAGTTTGCCTGTTGGAAGCGCACATCTCAGCAGTCTTTGGTGTGTTTAGGGGCCAATGACACTGAAGTCACTTTTAGGACATTTCCACCTGTGAGAGAACCCGTGCGCTTAGCCGTCTGGTGCACAGGCCGGAGGATGCTCCTGTGCTGTGTGTCCCCACCGCTCTGCCCGTCGTGGGCACTTCCATGAAAGGGCCAGCAGGTGGCCCTGCGTCTGCTTCTCTCACTGAGTGCCCCCCCCCCACCCCGTCCAGGGTCACCCAGGTTCTGGTGGGTCAGGGCTCCGCTCCTTTTTACGAGAAGGTAACATCCACCATATGGCTGGGCCTTGTTCTGTCTGCCCGCCTATCTGTGCACAAGGACCTGGATGCTTCCCCGAGGCTGTGTTTTGGTCAAGAGCCACGTGCACGCGGGGAGCCGGTGACCGTGTGGGTCCCCCATGGCATCCCCCCCACAATGCACAGTGAGCCCTCTCATGGAGAGTCCTTATTCAGTGGACCAGGTGATTTGAGGGACAGTGGCCGCCAGGCAGGTGCACCTGTGCCCCTGCAGGGCCAGTGGTGGCTCTTGGAAGCCTCATCCCTGCGGGTCCGAGGCCACACGTCTGTAATTTCTCACAGATTTGGCTCCATTTCCCTCCCCGGCGGCTTCTGGGCCCCCCAGTCTGCATCTGAAGGCCTCTGCTGCACCCCTGCACTCTGGCCCCAGGTCCTTCCCGGCCGCATCCCCATGGGGTCTTCATGCAGCATTTCTGGGTCTTGAGTGACCCCGGGCATCCCAGGCCGTGGTCTGGAGTCTCTTGTGCTGTCTCGTCCGCCTTGCCATGCGCGGCCTTGGCCCCTCGCGGGCGCACGTCGGCGCTTCCGCTTTCTCGTGTTCTTCTATATTTGGGGATCTAACCCTCCGAGGTGGTAGTAGGAGACGTTTTTTTCTGGGTTGTCTTTTCACTTTGCTCGAGGTGGTTTTTGCAGTGGAAACTTATTTACTTTGATGTAGTCAAATTTGTCAGTCTTCTGTGGTTTCAGGGGTTCTAGGGTGTGTAGATGGTCCCGCTTGGCCCCAGGCCTGGTCTGACTCATCGCGGCATCACCGAGGTAGAGTTCACACCGCAGGCAGTTCCCGGGCGAGGCTGTGGCCCATCGGTTTCACCACGTCGCCTGGCCGCGCAGCCATCCCCCCTGCCTGATCTTGGAATATTTCCCCCAAATGACCACCTCCCCAGCCCCCGCGGGAAGCAGGGAGTCTGCTTTCTGTTCCAATGGATGCGCTCCTCCGGACGGGTCAGGTCACTGCTCCCATGTCCCCCCGTGCTCTCTGTGACTCCCCCCCAGGGAGCACCGCGTGTCCGGGCTTCACCCACGAGGTGGCAGGTGTCCACGCCACACACCCCTCTATCGCAGAGTAATTCCCGCTGTGTGGACGGACCACATCGGCTTACGCACCCGCCCGTCCAGCCCAGGCCTGGGGTCATCTCACTGGCAGCTCCCGTGAATGCTGCCGCTGGGAACAGTGTGGGCGAGCTCTCGGGGCGGGGGCTGGAGTGGCCTCTCCTGGACTGGGTGGCACGGCCGTGTCGGAAGGGACCTGCTGGTCACCGGGGCACGTGCCCACTGGCCGTGCATGACTGTTCCGGTCCCCCCAACGTGCTGCCCTGCTGGCCTCCGGGCCGGGTCACCCTCAGGGCTGCAGGTGGTCTCTCGCTGTGGGGTTGACTTGCGTTTCCCGAATAATGAGTGATGTGAGCATCTTTTCATATGTCTGTCGGCCACTCGTGTGTGTTCTTTGGACAAATGTCCATTCAGATCCTTCACTGATTTTAAACACGGGTTGTCTTTTTATTCTTGAGCCAGGAGCTTTGACTTGGAGTCCTTCATATATTCTGGACACGAGCACCTCGTCAGATACGGTATTTGCAAGTAGCGTTTCTCCTTCTGTGAGGGATCTTTCAACTTTCCTTCTTAAATAAAATGTTCGAAATGCTCCAAGTGCGGTTGATATTCTTCAGGAGCTCTAGGTTTAATTCCTGAGGTGAAAGTCACGACTCCACCGTTTTGAAGTGAGCAGTCCCGTGGCATTGATCGCATTCCTGGGTTTGTGCAGCCACCACTGGTGTCTGGTTCCAGGGTGTTCCCATCACCTCCGAGGAGACGTCCTCCTGTCCCTGCTGGGCTGCGTCCCACCTTGGGCGTCACCCCTTCTGGCCGCTTCGTGTGAAGACAGCCACACACTGTGGCCTTTAGCGTCCGGGTTCTTTCATTCAGCGTAACGTTTGCGCGCCCTCGACGGCATCCTTTGAAGCACATACGTTTTTAGTTTTGATGAAGTTCCATTTTTTTCTTTTGTTTGTGCTTTGGGGATCACATCTAAGAAACCATTTCTTCGTCCAAAGTCACAAAGATTTCCTCCCATATGTTCCTAAAATTATTTTTTAAATTATACCATGGTTTTTATCTACTACTTTTACTGTTTAGTTTTGGAAATCACATCTTTAATTCAACTGGAGCTTTTTTGACTGAAAGTTCGTGTCCAAATGCACTTTGTCTGATGGTTTCACAGTTTCCTGCCCCCACTGCTGACACGAATGGACATCCCTCCCCCCATCCATCCTATTAAATCTAATATCGAATATTAGAACTTCCTGGATCTATTTCTGGACCTTGTATTGGTTGGATTGATTAGGCTTTCTGGTCACTATCAGGTTTTAATATCTGGTAGGAAGAGTCTTTGCAGAATTTTCTGGAACGTTTTTGCTTGTTAATTTTTAAAATGAACTTTATAACCATTGCTAGCCTTAAAAAATCCTATCCCTGTTTTGTTTTGCCTTGTTTGACAACTTCAAAGATGACACAGACGGACATCAGGAGAACATGCATCTCTCTGGGCAGAGTTTCTTGTGCATCCCTCAGAACGCGTCTGTTTTGTCTTTGTGGAGACTGAACATTTCTCATGAGGCTGGTCCTTCGTATTTTGCCTAGTTCTTGACTGATGTTTTAGATAGAAGAGCAGCTGATTTTGGAATTCTAATTTGGTACCAGCCTTACTGTTGGTCTCTTTTTCCGGTTGACCCACTTGGGTCGGCCTTGGTCACGACCTGATAGTCCTCAAAGCTCAGTGTCTTTAGAAGAAAGGCTTTCCGCCAGGGCATCGGGAAGGAGGCAGGAGTGGAGCGGAAGGAATCTCCTCCGCCCTCTTCGCCCTCCAGGCCGCGTGCACTCCCTGCTGCCCGATCTCTGCACCAGCCCGGGCATCTCCTCCCACATGCCGGGCTCCCACTGCCCCCAGGTCCTTTGCACCTGCTGCTCCCCCACTGCTTGTGTAAGTAGTCTGCTCCAGGTTCCTGACCCCTGCCGCCCACCCTTCGCTGCCCCGGGCCCTCACTGTGTCTAGTACTCAAGGGCTGCCTGCTGGGCCTGGGCCAGATGAGTGGAGAGCGGGCCTCACCTGAGATGAGGATGGGGCACCTCGAGCAGAGGGACAGCTCTGCAGCCCCGGGGGACACGAGGAGGGCCCAGGATCTCTGCCACCCTCTCCAGGGCCCCTTCCACCTGCTGTGGAACTGGAGGTGCTGTCTCTGTGGCTGTTGTGGACTGCTTCCCCTGGGACAGGAGGGGCTGGGGGCCACCAGGGCTCTGGGGTCAGCCAGCCCCTGCCCTAGGCCTTGGCCTCCAGGAGCACTGACCCCGTCCTTCCTCTGCAGTTCATGGCCTCCCACGGGAACGACGTTGCGAGGGACACATACGAGTCCAAAGTGCCTCCCTTCTACTACCGGCCCACGTTTTCCGACTGTCAGTAAGTCACAGCGGGGTTCTCTCAGGGGCTGGAGTTGGGAGGACCCGCTGGGCACTGGCTGCCACCCCCAGAGCGGGGGAGGATGGCCGAGTCCCCAAGCCTGGTGATGGGGTGGTGGCCGGTGGCTGGAGGGAGGGCAGTGAGGCCTCACTGTGGGTCTCCACATGCATCTTCGGGGGCCTCAAGTGCCCCCAGGTGGTCAGAGGAGGATGTTGAGAAGGTCCGGGGGGTGTCCACCCCATCCAGGCTCCCCTTCTCCCAGCATTTCTTTTTTTTTTTTTTAAAGATTTTATTTATTTATTCATGAGAGACACAGAAAGAGAGAGAGAGACAGAGACACAGGCAGAGGGAGAAGCAGGCTCCATGCAGGAAGCCCGACATGGGACTCGATCCAGGGTCTCTAGGATCAGGCCCTGGGCTGAAGGCGGCGCTAAACCGCTGAGCCACCAGGGCTGCCTTCTCTCAGCATTTCTCGACCTCCCTGAACCCCCTGCCTCCCTGGGCACCGCCCCCCAGGATGCCATGTCCCTCTGTGCTCCCAGGGCAGGACGGGCCCCTTGGGCATCACTCAAACCCCCCAACTGGCCTGCCTCTGCTGGCCGCTGTCCACAGTGGCGCAGCCACGGCTTGGAGATGACAGTTCTCTTTTGACAAGGGTGCTCCCAGGGCCCAGAGGGGTTGGGTGAATTTCTTAGGGTGACACAGATCCCAGCAGATGAGCTGAAACTAAGACTTGGGATGTGGGGTCTCCTCTGGGAGTTCCCAATCCCAGGCAGGCAGGTGGGAGACCTGCTCTCAGCCACCTGCCTGGGGCAAACTTCCCTTACTTGGAAAGGAGGGGGGGGGACCTGTCCGGGGACATGCTGCTGATGGCCACAGGGTCTCTGGGGACAAGAACCATTGCCAGAGACCCCCCCCGCCCCTGGGCAGGTACCGGTCACATCCTGAGCCCCCCTGCCCAGCCACTTCTAGGCCCACGGGGAATCTGGAGCCCGAGGCCCTGCCTGGCCATCTTGATATGAATCATCAAGGCCCAGCAGCTGTTGGGATTTTCACTTCAGCTGCAGGCTGCTCTGTGGTCTGCTTATTTGCATGCGTGCCCTGTATCTCCCTTCTGAGTGTATGACAAGGGACAGACTGGCCGCAGGCTGTGTCCTTGTCACAGGATGCCTGGCAGGTTCCTCCGTTCCCTGGTCCCTGTAACATGCTCGCAGAGACCATCCCTGCCTCCACCACTCCCTGTCCAGGTGACGGGGCATCCTGGGAGGGAGCAAGCTGACCCCAGGCAGGCCTTGCCTTCCAGAAGCCTCTGCTAGGTGAAGTTTGTGGGAGCTGAGCCTGCCACCATCCCCATCCTTGGGAGGCACTCAGGCCTGCCCAGGCCACGCCCCTGAGGCCCAGGGGGGTGCAGATGCCTGCAGGGGTGGGGTCCCAGCCCCTCACAGGGCAACCTGACCAGGCAGCCATGAGACCAGCGAGGAGTGGTGGCCAACACACTCAGCTCACTGTGGGGTGTGGTTGGGGGCAGGCTGCGGATCCCATGTAGACTGTGGGGTGCAGTGTGGTGTGGTGGCAAGGGGCATGGTTTGAATCACTCGGTAAACTGTAGGGTGCAGCATCCCCACCTAGGAGCAGGGCCCCTTGCAGGATGGGGGTGCAGCAGCCTCAGGGTGTCCTGAGGAGGAACCAGGGGATGTGTGCCCCCTCCCCAGCCTCCCGTCTGGGGCTTGGAGTTCACAGGCAAGTCCACGAGGAGGCCACGAGGAACGGTGCTCAGAAGACCTGGGGATGAGGTCACACTCACGTCAGGCAGTGACTCAGAGAGAGGCGGGCGTGGGCCCCCTTCCTGTGTCTGCCCCCCGCCCTCGGGTTCAGCCCTGCCTCTGCAGGAAGAAAGTCCGCAGGGCTCCTCCCAGTTTTGCTTCTGCTGTAAGCCAGCCCTCTGCTTCCCTCTTGGGGGCCCGGAAAGAAGGCCAGAGCCCAAAGGTGCCCCTAAGGTGCCCCCAAGCCCTCAGTGGGCAGGGTTCCCAGCTGGACGGGGCAGGGACAAAACCCCGGCCAGGTCAGCTCACCTCCTGGAGGCTGGCCATCGGGATGTGCGGGGCGCGTCTCCTGAGCCCCCTCCTGGGCTTGCACACGGCTGTCCTGTGTCCAGACCCCCTCTCTGGGGGCGCCCCACTCCAGCCTGATGCATTGTGACGCGTTAGTCCACAACCATCTTCCTTCTGAATGGGCCCATCTGTAAGGTGCTGGTGGTTAGGATTCCAACATAATTTTGGGGTGGTGGATGCAATTCAACCCATAACCGGGCCAGAAATCAGGCAGATTAAATGATAGGAGGTCCGGCTTTGCCTTGGGGAGTTCAGAGGGCACAGGCAGGTGGGGACGGCAGCCGTGCCTGGGTCCTCAGTTTCCCCATGGTGCAAAGGAAGAGAGCGACACTGCCTGGTGAGCTGCCCACCCTGCGGGAGGGGAAGCAGGCCCCAAGGGCAGTCACCTCCCCAGGAGGGAGAGGCCAGGCCCAGCCCTCTGGGCAGAGGGACCTGAGCGTAGGACTCTGTGGCTGACAGGACCAGGGCAGCAGGGTGGTCGGGAGCGGCGGTCCGACACCAGCACCCCGACGTGGTGGATGAGCCCGCAGACAGCCACGCTCCTGCAGGGGGTTCCACGGGTGTGCCCCCAGCTCGCACCAGCCTCGGGGCGGAAGGAAGTGTGCTGCCTGCCCGGTGCTAGGGATGCCCCGATGGGCTGTGGGAAGGTGGGAGGCCCACCCTGAGTGGGGGCAGAGCGGGGCGTTCCAGGGCTGGGCAGGGTAGGGTGGGGTCTCCCAGAGGTGGTCACCCTGCACACCTGGCTGCCCCCGGCCCCCTGCTCCAGGCCGTGGCAGTCCGTCCGGCACACATCCAGCTCTGCATTTGCTCTGGGTTGCAGGGGGGGGGGGCACCCATGTTAACCCCGAGGGCCCTGGCACCAGTGGAGGAGCCCTGAGGCCTGTCTCCCCCAAGTTCCTGAGAGCACAGGCAGGTCTTCGATTTCAGGAGCAGCGTCAGACGGGAGTGTGGGCCTCCCTCGTCATGAGGCTTGGTGCATAGTGGGAACCCCCTTGGGTGCTGGTTTTCCCTGGTATAGGAGGCTGGCCAGATGGCCTCAGCAGCTGGGGAAGGGTGCACCCTGGCCTTGCCGGGGCCCCGGGTGGCTGAGTGGCTTGGGAGAGCTCTGCTGGGCAGGGTGGGGACTCCCCCGGGCGCCTGCTCCCCAGCTTCCTCCTGCTACTGCTGGGAGCCTCAGGGACGAGGCACCCAGGCCAAGTGCTCCATGCAGGACGTCCAGCACAGATGGCCACACACCCCGCCCGATTCTGTGTACGCGCAGTGTCCACGCGGCAGTGGGCTGTGGCTGGGGGCCAGGTCACGGGGGTCCTCTTTGGGGTAATGGCGGTACAGCCTCGGGAGAGACTTGGACCTCTGTTTTTGATGCTTTCCGTGGCCACATTTGCTGATACATGAATTGGAGCTAATTTTTTTTAAAGTTTATTTTAATCATTTCTACCCCCAACATGGGGCTTGAACTTATGACCCTAAGATCAAGAGTTGCATGCTCCACTGGCTGAACCCACCAGATGCCCCTAGAACTAATTTTTTTTTACATGTATTTTTAAAAGATTTATTTATCAGGCACCTGGGTGGCTCAGGCTCAGATGGTGAAGCATCGCCTTCAGCTCAGGTCATAGTCCCAGGATCAAGTCCTGCATTGGGCTCCCTGCTCAGCGGGGAGTCTGCTTCTCCCTCTGCCCCTGCCCCACTCCTGCTCCTTTTCTCTCAAATAAATAAATAAAATCTTAAAAAAAAAAGAATTGTTTATTTATTTTAGAGCACAAGCAGGCAGAGGGGCAGAGGGAGAGAGTCCCGAGCAGACTCCACGCTGAGCACAGAGCTGGATGTGGCCCTCGATCTCATGGCCCTAAGATGACGACCTGACCTGAAACCAAGTCAGGCGCCAAACTAACAGAACCACCAGGTGTCCCAGAGCTAATTTTTTTTTTTGAAGGGGAGGTATTAGTGGTAAAACTATCTGATTAGCAAATGATTTAAAAATCAAAGCTGGTGGCCCTTCCACCCTGCCTTCTGGAGGCGGTGGACACGGGTTCCTTCAGGGGCCTGTGCCCACGGGGTTCCAGGAGCCTCCGTGAGCCCCGCGGTCGGGCTCAGCACGATGCTCACTCTCTTCCCCAGACTCCTGCGGGAGCAGTGGATCCGGGCCAAGTACGAACGGCAGGAGTTCACACACCCCGACAAGCAGGAGCCCTACTCCGCAGGTAAGGCCCAGCCCCCTGTCTCTCTGTCCCTGTCTCTCTGTCCCTCTGTCCCTAGCTCTCAGTCTCTGGGCCCCTCCTGCCCACTCCTGGCACTGGCGACAAATTTCGGATCTGGAGGACAACTCATTGGTCTCGGCTGGTGTCAGGTGCTCAGGCCCCGCGCCCGGGCAGCCGTAGCTCAGACAAGGCTGGTGCCATGGGGACAGCAGGGCTGCGCTGGGCTGTGTGTGGGGTGAGCAGGTGGGGCGCGATAGGACCAGAGGCCTCGGCCCAGGTGGGAAGGTGGGACTTGGGCCTGCCTCTGGGACCTGGAGCGGCCCTCCCAGGAAAAAGTTGGGTCTGGGTTCCAGAAGTGGGGGTGCGTGTGGGGCAACAACACCGACAGACCTCTCCACTGCGGGTATGTTTGGGTCCACCCCAGGCACTCAGTCCGCGACAGCGAGTCTCTCCCTCTGCCTCCTGCCACGTGGAGCTCAGGAGGTGGTAACAGCCAATGACAAGCTGGGGTCCTTCCTGCCAAAAAGTGTATCCCTGTCTCAGGCCCAGGGTCCCCCACAGAACCCATTCCTCCTAGCTCCCGGTGCCACTGGCCGTGCTTCCTCTTGGGTGTGTGTGAGACATCAGGCCAGGGGCAGGGGGACTACAGGAGGGCATGTTAGCAGGCCCCGAGCCGGGGGCCTTGAAGGCCACTGCTGTATAGACGGCGGCTTCTCCATCAGCCTCTCCAGGGCCGGCAGAAGGAGCAGAGGCCCCCATCCCACTTGCCTGCACTGAGGCCCTCACCAAGCTGTCACACAGGGGGGAGCCCAGTGCACTAGGACCCCACTAGGGACCCAGGGAGCCCGGACCATGGCCCCACACAGCCTCTAAATCTCACCTCACTGCATAGGCCTCCCCAGTGCCCCCCACATGCCCTCCTGGGTCTCCCAGGAGGAAGGACATCCAGGGGCCCCACACCCCACAGCCTCTGAGGCCTGGCCGGCCAGGTGCCCCTAAACCTAGAGCCTGTGCAGGCCCCTGCTGAGATGGAGGGAGCAGGCCCCCAGCACCTCCGAGTCCCCTATCACCAGCCCCAGTGTCGGGGTGGGGGAGCAGGTGCACCTGAGGGCTGGCGACCCCGGAGGTGTCCCTGGCCCTGCGGTTCCTCTGAGGCCTCCTCCCCCAGCCATGTGAGGAGCGCCAGGGGATTCCCGGGGGCACTTCCTGCCACAGGCGCACTTTCTCAGGCTCAGGGGATGACACGCCCACCTGGCCACGCCAACGCAGAAGTCTGGCCCCTCCGACAGGGAGGAAGGGAGACCGACACCTCAGGCTCGGGAAAGGCCCTGGCCCCGGGAGCCACACAATGCCCAGGCTGGCGGCTGCGACCCCCATGGGTCTGCAGGGCTGCAGGGACCTGCAGGGGGCTGGGGCTTGGAGGGTGATTGGGGTGCAGCCCCCCAGCCGCACCCGGGGCCTCCTGGGGGGGAGAACACAGTTGTCTGGGGGATGCCAGGCACCAAAGCTGGACGTGAGGGCAGCAAGATAGGCCACAGGGCGCAGGTCAGGGCTCAGCCCTACCGACAGAAGAGGTCCACTGATCACCAGGAAGAAACGGGGCGAAAGGGACCGTCAGCAGGCAAAGGCTCCCACAGAGCAGGGGTGGCCTGGGCCACACTGGACGCCAATAGCCGTGGAAGCTGGGGGGGGGGGGGCAGGATTTGCACGTCTCAGCATGTCCTCCCCTGGGCGTGGATGGGGTGGAGGAAACGGGCCTGGCTGGCGGAGAAGCTGTCAGACCTGCTTCCCCTGCTGTGGACGAGGCACCGGTGCCCGGACGGCGTGGCTGCCATGGCATTCCTGCCGGAAAATGCAAAGCCTCGCCCCGGCCCTGAGGAGACGCCAGGCAGACCCTGCCCGAGGGACCCTGACCGGAAAAGCTGACCAACACCCCTCAGAGGTGTCAGGCCTGGAGTGGTTGGCACGTGCGGCCCCAGACGGCATTGCGGGGCCGCGGGGCCCTCGTGAGGCCGCCGGGAAGGGGGTTAGTGCTGTGGTGCAAGGGGACTGTCCGGCTCTGAGGACCCGACCGCGGCCACCTGCGTGCGGAGCTACCTGCTGGCTCCCCTCGGGTCAGTGCCCAGGCATCCGAGTGCAGACAGGCCAGGCGTGACCCCGTGTCAGGGAGGGGGGATGAGGAGGCCACAGAGCCTGGCGTTCCCTGCCCTCGGCCAGGGTCACGAGTGTGTGCAGATAAGGCGCCTCCACCTGTGCCACCCCGGCTCACGGGTAACCCGGGTGACAGCTGCTCCTGGCTCCCGCCCCTTGCCACGCCCCACCCTGAGCCACAGCCTCAATGGCCGCCTTTCACGGGGTGGACAATGCCCCCCTGTTGTCCCGAGGGCCAGGCCGCCAGGCTGCCCCCAGTCACCGACAGACACGGCACTTCCTGCCGGGGCTTCGGCCCCCATCCCACCGCCTCCCCTCTGTGCAAAGCAGGGCTGGTCCCAGAGCTGCCGCCCCGCCCCACTGTTGTCCTGTCACAGGGCGAGCAGAGCTGGGGGGCTGGGGGCTGAGGGCTGGGGCCTCCCTGCGTGTCAGAGCCCAGCCCTGTGCCTCCGTTCCCCTTCTGTGTAGCAGGGAGGACACGGTACTCAGTGTGGGGTTGTCACTGGAAGCATGAACTGGTGTCAGGTGCAGGGCACCCAGTGGGCATCCCTGGGGTGGCTTGTGCGCGTCCAGTGGACTGAGGGCATTTGTGGGGTTTGGCCTGTGTGCCCCTCCCCAGCCCCCACTGGACTCGGGACTGTTGGCCACTTCCTGCAGCATCCTCTGTGTGGGGATCGGGGTGTGGGGCATGTGGGGTTGGCCATGCAGAAGGTTGTGCCAGGCCCCCAGCGAGGGGCTGGGGTAGCAGGGAGGGAGTGACAAAGGAGGTGAGGCCGGGCCCTCACGTCAGCCTCTGGGGGAGTAGAGCCAGGTCCTGGCTCCGTGCCTGGAGGACACCTTTCCTCCGGGCCTCCCCTGGCAGAAGCCACATGGCCTGGGGGCCCATCTCCTGCCTTGGGAGGGCCACCCGGGGTCTGGCCACAGAGCACCCAGCCCGGGCCACCTGGTAAGCCCTACTGCCCCCAGAGCGAGGCCGCGTGTCCCTGCTCCTGTCAAGAAATCAACATGTCACCTATTCACATAAGCTGCAGTCCAGCTGCGAGCCCCGTGCCCCAGGTGGGGGACAGTTCTATGAGCTGTGACAAAGGCAGGTGGGTGACAGTCCCGTTCTGTGGGCCCCACTCTGCCCCGTGGCCCAGCCTCGCACTTCTTCCAGTGTCATCCACGAATCCAGCTGCGTGGCACCTGTTGGGCCTGGTTCTGTCCATTCACCCGAGGTCGCCCCTTCCTGGGCGCAGAGTGGTGTTGGTGCGCAGAGGAGTTCCCCAGCCGGGGGACGTTGGGTTGTGTCCAGTTCAAGACCCCTGAACGCTGTGCGCAGGCTTTCGTTCTCTCCGGGTCATGTGAGAAGCAGATGGCACCTCCTCGTCAATTTAAACAAGCTGTTTCCAGACCGACCGCCCTGTCCTGCAGGCCGTGTGCCTGCCTGCACTTGGGACCGTCAGTTTTTGTGGCTTGGTTTGGCCGTTCCGGTGGGTGGGCAGTGGGGTCCCGTCACCACCGATGGTGCTGAGGATCCTGTGTGTGCTTCCTCCAGGCCATCCACGGGGCTTCCGCGAGGAGGCAGCGCGTAGGCCCCGGGGGCTGCACTGGCTCTCCCAGCTTCCAGGCCGGTGGTGTCAGAGCCAGCACAGGGTGGGGCCTGGCACACAGTGGGTGCTGGCTCGTGCTAGGGCCCAGCACACGGTAGGGGTGGGCACACAATAGGCACTCAGCAAATGCTGGGTGAACCATCTGGCCTCTGCCCCAGGACTGGTCAGTCCTTTGGGAGAAAACAGTCCCCTGGCACAGCTGAGCTCCAGGCGTGCATGTCAGGAGGGCACCCCTGGGCTCCATCCTGCTGTGTGTGCTGCGGGATCCCCCTCTCGCAGGGGTGCGGTGGGCAGGGGCGTGGGGAAGGGTGGAGCAGCACAGATCCCCCGAGCCAGCGTAGATGCCACGACAGCTCAGAGCCCTGGAGTCTGCAGGGGTCTGGAAACTGCGAGCATGGCAGGCCCTGGGTGTGGTGGGTGGGAGCCGCCCCAGGCCAGGGCCGGCAGGCGCACCTCACGGCGGAGGCCGGGTGCGAACACGGGCAGGCCGCCCGCTTCAGGCCGAGCGCCAAACAGCCGTCCTGCTGCTGAGGCCAAGTCAGGGAGCCCGGCCAGCGCGCGTCCGAAAATATTGCTGCTGCTGTTGCGGTGCCTGAAATTAGGCGTCCTGGCGGCTGGCTGTCGGGCAGCACAGGGCGCAGGAGCCAGACGGGCTTGGGGCCAGCCGGTCCCTCCATCCAGTGGGAACGGGGTGGATGCTGAGCCGCCTCCCACCCCTCTGAGCCCCGCGCCCGGCACGTCTTGAGGCGCTGCTGCCACCTGCTGGGCCGGGTGGGCAAGGCAGGCGGGCAGCCTGCAGAAGGTCAGCGCTTGGTGGCCAGGTGACCTTGGACCAGGACCTTGCCGTCTCCCTGCCTCAGCCTCCCCTTCTGTACCATGAGGATAACAACTCGGAAGTCCTTCTGGGGCTGGAATGGGATCATGTGGGTGAAGTGCTCAGCCGGGGCCTTGTCATGGGCGACGCGCAGGGGTGCTGGTGGGGACCCTCCTTGCAAATGTCACCACTCCAGCTGCCGGGGCGCAGAAGCCGCACTAGGGTGCTTCCCTGTGTTTGCGGCCTGGCTGACCTGCAGGCAAGTGGACTTCCAGCTTCGCCCTGGGTTGAGCGCTCACGCGGCCCAGTGTGTGCTTGGGGACACAGTGGCGCTGTGCGCAGGGAGTCCGGGGACACAGGCTCCGAGAGAAGAGACTCAGGGACCTCTGAGTGGGAGCAGAGGGGAGAGGCCCCATCTGGCGCTGGCCCGCGACAGACTGAGCGGCACCAGCTGCCCCCTCCCGACGCCGGGCTGCCGCCTTCTTAGGGCTGCATGACTCAAGAACAGAGAAGATAGTCCGTGTCTCCGTGCCGTCAGGGAGCGGCCTGCCAGGGCCACGGGGGGGCGGGGACAGGGGGCGCAGCTGCCAGGGTCCCAGCTCCACGGGCGGCTGAGAGGACAAATGGTGGGCCCCACCTGCCGCCCTGGCCCCCCCTCCCGTCACGGGCGGCCCCGGGTGGCACTGCACAGGGAGAGCCCCGAAACCCAGGACAGCAGAGACCGTCGGGCGGCTTGTGTAGGAACCCGCAGACCCTGCCTGTGACCAGCAAACCCCCGTGAATCGCGCCAAGGGGCTTGAGCGTGAGGGCCGCCCACTGGGCAGGAGAGGAAGGAGCTGCGGGCCCGGCGGCAGCGGACTCTACAGCCAGGCACAGGCTGCACGGGGCCCGGCTCACTGGGCACAGGGTCCTAGGGCGGGCATCGCACCCAGGGACGGGAAGGGACGGGACAGGTGGAAGTCACCAGGAAGCATTCCCTTCCTACCACTGCCGGAACAACTGGCTGCAAAATTTGTGCCTTAAAATGACAGACTGACCGTCCCGAGGGTCGGGGGCTGCAGTGAAGGTGGGAGCAGGGCTGGCTCCTCCCCGCGTCTTCCACTCCTGTTTCCGTGGTCATTCTCCTGCTGCCTCCCCTGTGCGAGGGCCCTTGTGACCTCAGGCCCACCTGGACGACGCAGGATGCCCGCCCGTCCGCAGACCCTCCTGTCCTGAGGACTCAGGGTCCCTGAGCGGGCGCCCTGCTCTGCTCCTCCACCCCCACCCAGGGTGCCCTGGTCTGCTCCTGTTCGGCTCCTCCGCCCCCACCCAGGGTGCCCTGGTCTGCTCCTGTTCGGCTCCTCCGCCCCCACCCAGGGTGGCCGCACAGGTGCATGCTCCAGGTGCGTGCAGGACCCTGCACACAGGGTAGCACACTGCACCCCCCCACGTGTGTTTATTGCGCCTCCAGAAAGAAAAAGGTTAACACCCCAAGAGCAAGCAGCAGTGGGCAGCCTGTGGGGGAGGGGGTGGCCCCGGGTCCCGGCACCACGGGTGAGTCTGGCTGCACCCACCATGCTTTGCAGCCCTGAGGCCACCAAGACCCCTGGCCGCAGACCGGATGGCTGGCTGGTGTCCTGCCACCTGCACCCTTTCTGCGAGTCGGAATGATGGCCTCCGCGCCCTGACCCTCTGACCTGCACCCTTTCTCCCCAGGGTACCGAGAAGGCTTTCTCTGGAAGCGCGGCCGGGACAACGGGCAGTTTTTAAGCAGGAAGTTTGTGCTGACGGAACGAGAAGGTTCCCTGAAGTATTTCAACAGAAACGATGTGAGTCTGGCCCAGGGCCTGCAGAGGGGGGCGTGCTGTCCCCAGCTGCCCCCTCCTGTGGGGATCCCCATCCGCCCACCCCTTGATCACAGTGGCTTCCTGGGGCCAGGCCTGGGTCGGTCATGGTGGGAAAAGAGATGAGAAGCCCTTCCCCGCTGGGCTGTCCCCGACCTGAGAGGGGCGGCCAGGCAGGTTGGGAAGACCCTGTGGCCCACCGGGGCCTGCCCCTCCCCAGACCAGCTCCAGGTCAGAGCACGCCCCCATGACCCACAGAGCCAGAGGGCATCGCAGGACGGCGAGCCAGCCCCTGGGGCGGAGAGGAAAGCCAGGCTGGCAGGGATGGGGGCACACCAGACAGAGAAGGGGTCTGCCTAGGAGTTGAACACTCGCCCTCCTCATCCCCAGGGAGGGGACTGCTGTTAATTTGGACATACAGGTCAGGAGGCCCAGGCCCAGAGAAGGTTAGTAACTTACCCCAAGCCACACAGCACAGCCAGCACTGACAGGCCCACCCCTGCTTCCAGGCCAAGGAGCCCAAGGCCGTCATGAAGATCGAGCATCTGAACGCCACCTTCCAGCCAGCCAAGATCGGCCACCCCCACGGCCTGCAGGTCACCTACCTGAAGGACAACAGCACCCGCAACATCTTTGTCTACCATGAAGATGGGAAGGTGCGTTCTCGGGCTGCTTGGCAGGGGTGGGGAGCTGGGCCGCCCCACCCACTCACACCCAGAGCCTCTGTAGGTTAAGGGTGCAGGGGAGGGGGTGCCCAGCAGCCCCTCTGGGTCCGTCCTTATGTCCACTGGTGGCCCCTCCTCCTCATTGCTTTGGTGCGTCCATTTCTACCTTCAGAGCTGGGCTGTAAAGGGCGAAATGTGTCTGCACTTCAGACACACGTCTGGCGACCACCTCTCAATCTTTTATCACTAAAATACGCATCAAATTCATCATTTTCGCAATGTTTGAGATATGGTTCTGAGGTACTGGGTACATTCATTGTGCCGCCGTCCCCCCATCAAGCTCCAGAACATTCTGTCCCCATGACACACTGACCCCCGGCTGCGCCCACTGTCTGCTCTGTCTGTGAGTCTGACGATGCCAGGACCTCGTGTGCATGGTGTCCCCGTGTGCATTCTGGTCTGGCTTGTGTCACTCGACCTCACATCCTCAGGGCGTGTCCCCACGGTAGCAGGTGTCCAGTTCCTTCCAAAGGCTGTTGTGTGTATGGACCACATTGTGTTTATCTGTTCCTACCCTGATGGACAGTCGGGTTGCTTCCACGGGCTGGCTGTCACGAAGGATGCTGCTATGAAGTTGGGGGGACAAATCTCTCAGATCCTACATTCAATTCTTCTGATTATATAGCCAGATGTGGAATTGTGGGATCACGTGGAAATTACTTTTTTGGGGACCCTCCCCACTGTCGTCCACAGCAGTTTCACAGTTTGCATTCCCACCAACCGGGCATGAGGGTTCTCATTTTTCACATCCTCGCCAACACCTGTTTCTGGGTTCTGATTTTAGCCATTCTGTGTGTGAGGTGCTATCTCATTTTGGTGCAGATTTGCGTATCCCTGATGATGAGGGATGTTGAGCATCTTTTCATGTCCTGCTTGACCACTTTGTATGTCTTCAGAGAAAGGCCTATTCAGGTCCCATTTTGCTCATTTTGGATTTGGGTTGTTTTTTCTGGTGTTGTGTTTTAGGGCTTCTCTATATATTCTGGATATTAAGCCTTTATCAGATACATGACTTGAAAACATTTTCTCCCATCCTGTGGGTTGCCTTTCACTCTGTGGATAGTGTCCCCGGAAGCACAAAATTTCAGAATTTTCATGAAGTCCAATTTCTCTTTTTCTTTTGTTGCCTATGCCTGTGGTGTCAGATCAACAAAATCATCACCATATCCAATGCCATGAAGCTTCTGCCTTGTGTTTTCCTCTAAGATATTTATTGTTCAGGTTTTACATTTAGGTCCTTGATCCATTGAGTTAATTTTTAAAAATATTTTATTTACTTGAGAGACAAAAGAGATAGAGCATGGGGGTGGGTGGGTGAAGAGGGCAGCCTCAGATGGCACTGAGCAGGGAGCCTGATGGGGGTTTGATCCCAGCCCCCCCCCCCCGTGATCATGACCTGAGCCAAAGGAGCCACCCAGGTGCCCCTCCACTGAGTTAATTTTTATATGTGGTATGAGAGAAGAGTCCAACTTCATTCTTTTTCATGTGGCTATCCAGTTTTCCTAGCACCATTTGTTGTTCTTTCTGGGGATCCCTGGGTGGTTCAGCGGCTTAGCATCTGCCTTCAGCCCAGGGGGTGATCCTGGAGTCCCGGGATCAAGTCCCACATCGGGGTTCCTGCATGGAGCCTGCTTCTCCCTCTGCCTGTGTCTCTGCCTCTCTCTCTCTCTCTCTGTCTCTCATGAGTAAATGAATAATCTTTTTTTTTTTAAAGACTGTTCTTTCTTCATTGAATGGTGTTGGCACCCTTTCTCAAAAAAATCATTTGACCCATTTCTGGGCTGTCTTCTATTCTGGTCTATGTCTGCCTTTATGCCAGTGCCATGTTATTTAGACTGTGACTTTGTAATAAGTTTTGAAATTAGAATTGCGATTCCTCCAGTTTTGTTCTTTTTTAGAATTCTTTAGCTACTTGGGTTCCCAGATATTCCAAATGAATTTTGTCAAATATGTGTTATGCATCAACTGAGATGATCACGTGGTTTGTTCTTCCTTCATTCTGCTGTGATATATTACACTCATCCATTCCCATGTTGAACATCCCTTGCATTTCAGGGATAAATCACACTTTGTCATGGTGTATGTTCCTTAATATGCTGCTGAACTCTGTGTGCTAGTATTTTCTTGAGGATTTTTTTTTTAAAGATTTTATTTGAGAGAAAGCACATGAGCAGGGGGAGGAGCAGAGAGAGGGAGACATGCTGACTCCCTGTCAAGACCTGAGCTAAAGGCAGACGCTTAGCAGACAGAGCCACACAGGCATCCCCTAGCCACACTTTAAATACTTCGTTGTCAAGGGCCATTTCTATCACTGCAGAAAGTTCTATCAGACGGTGCTACGTGAGATCTGACAGGAGGGGGAATTCAGTACTTCACAAATCAGGACACAGCAGCAGCTCAGCTGAAAGGCCTCACATTTATTACTCAACCAACTTACTAGTATAGAGGCATAGTAACAGAGAGAATCTCTGTTCCTTCCTACCAATAGGAATGTCAATAGACATGTCTTATCAAGGGAATGATTTTCTCTGTTTCTTGAGGATTTTTGCATCTGTGTTCACAAGGGATACTGGTCTGTGGCTGTCTTGTATTTCTGTCTGGCTTTGGTATCCAGGTTATGCTGGGTGAAATACAGAACACCGCACAGAAAGAGTTGGGAGGCGCTCCCTCCTCCTCAGTTCTCTTGCAAAGCTTGGAGGGGATTGGTGTTGGTCATTAAAGGTGGAGAATTCACCAGTAAAGCCATCAGGGCCAGGGCTTTTCTTGGTTGGGAATTTCCGATGTCTGATCCCATCTCCTTCCTCGTTCATAGGCCTCTTCAGATGGTCCACGTCTTTGTGATTTAGTCTCGGTGGGTTTTCTCTTTCCGGGAATTTGCCCACTTCATCTAGGTCACCCCGTTGTTGGCATACAGCTGTTCACTGAACCCTCTCCTAGACCTTTTTAGTTCTGGGAGTGGCGTCCCCGACTTTGTGTCTGATTCTAGTGACTTGAGTCTATTTCTTAGTCCATCCAGCTCGAGGACTGCCGATCCATCAATCTTTTTGAAGAACTGACTTCTGGTTTCATTTATTTTCTCTCGTGGTTCTCTTTTATTTCATTGATCTCTGCTCCAGTGTTTATGACTTCTTCCCTTCTGCCAGCTTTGGGTTTAGTTTGTTCAGTTTCTCGTCTAGCTCCTTCAGTTGTAGATCGGTTGTTGGTTTGACATCCTTTCCTTCTGGATTTTAACGCCAGCACGTAGAGTTACAGATTTCCCTGTTAGCAGCACCGTGGCTACACCCCGTGTTCTGGCGTGGCGTTCTGTTTTCCTTCATCGAATTTCATTTCATTTCTAATTTCCCTGGTGATTTCCTCTTTGGTTTCCACTGCGTGTTTAAAAGTGTGTTAAATTTCCGTGATGTTGTGAATGTTTGTTTTTTTGTGTGTGTTGACTTCTAACTCCATCCTGTTGTGGCCAGAGAGGATATTTTGTATGTAGCCTACCTTTTAAAATCTATGAAGACTTACCTGAGGCCTCACGTGTGGTCGATCCCATACGACAGTACAACGTCCAGTGGGCACCGGGGGGGAACGCGTGTGCCATCCTAATTGGGTGGACCGTCTGGTTGGACGGGGTTGGTTGCTGGGGCAAGTCCTCCGTGTCCTTACTCCTGTCCGTGTTTCTTGCATCACTCTGAGTGCAGCATCACTGTCTCCAGCTGTTATTCTAGGCTGGCTAGTCCCTTTAGTTCTGTGGGTTTTGCTTCTTATGTTTTAATGGTCTGTGCTCAGGTGCATAAATGCTTGTAATTGTTAGATCTTCCTGCTGTATTGAGGATTTTACTCACATGTACTGTCCCTCCTCATCCCTTGTGACCTTTTCCTGACTTAGTCTGTTTGTGTGATGTTGGTGGAACCAGCTGTCTCCTGGGGACTGTCTGCACGTAACGTGTGTTCCCATCGTGACTCTCAACCTGCTGTGTCTTTAGATCTCAGCTGAGTCTCTCTAGACAGCCAGTGGTCGCAGCACGTGTTTTTATCCATCCTGCCTGCCGTTCTCTGTGTTGACTGGAGAGGCTCTTTCGTTTACCTTTAAAGGGAACGCTGGTGAGGAGGGGCTTCCTCCTGTCCAGTGCGTTTTGTGTTGTGTGTGGCCTACGGCTTTTTTCTCCCTTGTTTCCTGCGTTCCTGTCTCCTTCTGTGTTTAGTTTTTTAGTGAAATGTTTAAATTCCCTCCTAATTCCTTTTGTGTATATTCTATAGCTCTTTTGTTTGTGGTTGCCATGGGGATTACATTTAGCATACTAAATTTATAACTTTCTAAATCAATTTTATAGTTTATTTATTTTTAAGATTTTATTTATTTATTCACGAGAGACTACAGAGAGAGGCAGAGACATAGGCAGAGGGAGAAGCAGGCCACCCATGGAGGGCCTGTTGTGAGACTGGATCCCAGGACCCCTGGGGTCACAACCTGAGCCAAAGGCAGATGCTCAACCATTGAGCCACCCAGGCGTCCCATTGATTTTACAGTTTGATTTCAGTAACATGCAGAAACCTTCTCCTTCACAGCTGTGTGTACACACCTTTTTGGTTGTCAATGTCAAAGTATTACATCTTTACACACTCTGTGCTCCAAGATATAATCATTCTTTTAAATGTACTATTTCCTAATGTAAGTATAAAATAAGATTTGCAAATACAAACAAGTTTAGTAATGGTAGCTTTTAATTTTTGATTACTTTTTTGTTTAAAAGCATGAGTCTTTTAAATCCTATACAGGAGAGTTACAAACCTTTCCTGAGATCCTCATTTCTCCATATGGCTTCAGTTACTACTGTTCTTTCATCTCATCCTTGTTCCTGGTCTGAGGGGGAAAGTGCTCAGTTGTTCCCCAGGGTGTGTGAGGTCAGCTGTAGGTTTGTCCCATGATAAGGCTTTATCAGGTCAACATGGCCTATCGAACCTCACTTTGTTTTTATCGTGAACAGATGTTGTATTTTGTCAAATGCTTTCCTTTGCTTTTTCTTCATACGTTGAGATGATCATACAGTTCCTAAACCTTTTGTTTATAGGACGTATCCCGTTGACTGGTTTGTGAATGTTGTGCCATCCTTGCTTGCATCCCTGGAAGCTACTTGCTAGGGGTGAATGATCCTTTCAACCATATTGTTGGATTCAGTTTGCTGGTATTTTGTTCAGGATTTTTACATCCTCATGGATGCAAAATTTTGCATGGCCTGTAGCTTTTTTCATAGTGCATTTGTCTGCTTTGCTATCAGGATAATGCTTGCCTCATAGAAAGAAGAAAAGCTTCCAGATTCAGTTTTTTTGCAATAGTTTGGGAATAGTTATTAACATTTTTAAAAATGTTTGGTAAAATTCACTAGTGAAGCCATCTGGTCCTGGACTTTTGTGTGTTGTGAGTTCTTTGATTATGGATTCCATTTTGTTACTAGTAATTGGCGTGTTCAAATTTTCTGTTTCTTCATGATCTGGTTTTGGAAGACTGCATGCACTGTTATGTGGTATTAACAGGTTCTAGGCAAGACATGAATCAAAGCACGTGGGCCAATCTTTAGCTTTATCCGGAAACCTCCACTTTCCTTGGGAGTTTGAGCCCAGGGCCCTTCTGTATGTGTAGCATGACGCTCTGCTGGCCTGAGTCCCCAATGGGCCTCCTTCCCTCAAAGAGGGTTGTGGACACCTGCTGTGGGCTGGGCCCTGTGCCTGGACACAGGTAAGCCTGTTTGACATGGTTCCACCCTCAGTGAGTGATTGCAGTTTGCCAGTAGATACAGGCATGGATCAGCGACAAGTGACTAAAATCTCACCTGTACTGAGTGCTGGGAACAGTGACTGTGAATAATGGGGCGGGGGGGGGGTACTGCATCCCAAGGGTAAAGACAGGTGCTGGAGTGGCATGTGCAAAGGCCTTGTGGCCAAATGCAACAGAACATATCTGAGCACTGACAAGGTGGAGGCTGGCAGGAAAGGAAGGGCAGAGCCTGCAGGGCCTGCGGCCATGCTGTGGACTTCTATCTTTATTGGAGATGCAGTGGTTCGTTGGGAAGGTGTCACAGCCCAACTTGAACTGCTGGTGACCCTTCCAGTTACCATGGTTTCAATGATCTGAAGGAGTCCTGAGGGAGGTGGGAGGCCTGGCCCCAGGGGTTGTGGGGAGACTGGAGAGCACAGTGGTGAGGGCAGGGCCCAGAGTGTAAGTCACTGCCTGGATTGGGAGTCCTGTGCACCAGGCGGGGAAGACAGTGCAGAAGGAGACACTGCAGCACTGGGCCAGCCCAAGGGGACAGGTCTGGTGACAAGGTGTGGTCAGCAACTTGTGGGGTGTGCAGCAGGTGGGTTGGCAGAGGAGGAATTGTGGCTGTGGTCCAGGTGGGCATAGAGTGACCCCTGTGGGCAGCACGGGAGCCCTAACTGGCGTGCAGGTGCCCTGTGGCCGGCAATGGCCAGGTGTTGGCAGGGGAAGGAGCTATTTGGGTCAGCCAGGGTTGGGGCAGAGTCCAGCATCCGGTGGGTAGGGGTCCCTGGAGTGGGGGGCAGGGCAGCAAGGAGAGGTAGGGGCTGCGGGTCTACCCTGTCCAGTGAGGGACTTTGGCTCACGTAGAGCCGCACTTGAAGATTGGAGGCAGCAGCTCTGGGTGGATTTAAAAATAGATGAGCCTCACTCTGGGCAACATGTGCTGTTTGTAAAAATAGCCCCATCTGAGAGGAGAAAAGCCACCCGTGCCCAAGCTACATCAGGGCCTGGGGGCCGGCTGGCCATAGCACGGCCCGCTCCCAGGCCCCCAGCCACCCCGGGGCCGGCCTGCAGCATACGCCCACGCTCCCGCCTGTGCTCACGGCAGCCCTTCCCCGGCACACAGTGGGGGGGGGCGGGATCTGGACAGTCCAAGGGAGGCAGAGCTCACGGCCCTGCTGGCGGCCAGCCCCGGGGCCGAGGCCCATACCTGCTCCCACCCACAGGAGATCGTGGACTGGTTCAATGCGCTCCGTGCAGCCCGCTTCCACTACCTGCAGGTGGCGTTCCCAGGGGCCAGTGATGCCGATGTGAGTGGCGGCTCCTTGTACCTGCTGGGGGATGAGGGGTACCCCGCTAGCCTGGGGTGGTGGGCGGAGGGCGGGCCAAGGGCTCCCACACACCCCCCTCCTTTATCCTGGGACCTCTTGGCCCAGGGGCAGCGAGAAAGGGGGGAGGGGGCCCGTCGGGGAGGGCCCCAGCCTGAGCCCATCTTCTGCCCTAGCTGGTGCCCAAGCTGTCCCGGAACTACCTGAAGGAAGGCTACATGGAGAAAACCGGGCCCAAGGTGGGTCTGACCGGCAGCCTCCACGGAGATCACTGTCCTGGCCACCAGGGTCTGGGGTGGCCTTGGAGGGTCAGAGCGCCTGCAGCGCCCCGGGCGAGGACTCAGGGTGTCCTTGGGTACTTCTAACAGGTCCCATTGGTGCGGATGGCCCGGGACTGTAGCGCTCTGGCCCTCTGCATCGGCCACCTGTGTGCAGCACACACGATTGCCCCTGCAGCCCAGGCGGGGCTCTAACTGCCCCCAGGGAGGAGTGGCGAGGAGGAAGCGGTGCGGAGGGCAGGGGAGGACCCCACCATGGGAGGAACGACCAGCGCAAAGGCCCTGGTGCGGCCCCGGGCGGACAGCCCGCAGGAAGCGTGAAGCAGGATGAATGAGCGTACGTGGGGGGTGAGGGGGAGTTCGTGTTCCTCAGGCTGACTGGCCGGCACCCGGCGCTCTCTGACCCGCAGCAGACGGAAGGCTTCCGGAAGCGCTGGTTCACCATGGATGACCGGAGGCTCATGTACTTCAAAGATCCCCTGGTAAGGGCGGGTCTGGGCTGGGATCAGCGGGGCCCCTCGCAGGGGGACGTCTCCTCCCCCACAACGCTGAGAAGAGTGGCAGGCCCACGTTTGCTGCCCATGGGCTGTGGGGACGAGGAGCAGGAGGGAGGGCTGGATCTCGGGGGTCCAGACTCACAGGACCCGCCCACAGGATGCCTTCGCTCGTGGGGAAGTCTTCATCGGCAGCAGAGAGAGCGGCTACACGGTGCTGGACGGGCTCCCACCGTCCACCCAGGGCCATCACTGGCCACACGGCATCACCATCGTCACGCCGGAACGGAGGTTCCTGCTGGCCTGCGAGACAGAGACGGAGCAGCGGGCCTGGGTGGAAGCTTTTCGGAAGGTGGTGGACAGGCCCATGCTACCCCAGGAGTACGCAGGTAAGTGCAGGTGGGGGCTGGGGAGGGAGCCCCAACCTCCCATGTGGCTGTGACACGGCTGGATGCTGTTCTTTTCCAGTGGAAGCCCACTTCAAGCATAAACCCTAACAAGAGGTGGTTCTGGAGGCCCGAGGGAGCTGGACTCGCTGGAAGTGTCCATCGAGGAGGCAGCGGCCAGCCTGGAGGGCCGGCAGATGGAGGAACCGGCGTCCGGGCCCTGCGCTAAGGGGCAGCCCCACACACGGCCAGGTGGGGCCTGAGCTTTAGCCACTAGGACCTGTTTCTCTGGACACTCGCTGCAGGCCACCGGCCTCTGACCCCACCGTGCTGCCGTCCCCGCCCCCTCCCTGCCCACTGGACCACCCTTCCTGAGGCCCGGGCCTGGCTCCGGGCAGCCCGGCAGCCCCTCACCGACTCCCCTGCCACCTGAGCGGGACCCTGCCCCTGAGCGGGAGGTCGGGCTATGGGGACAGTGGGCGGCCTGCATGCCTCCTCTCCTCCAAGTCCCCTTCAACAAGTATTTATTGAGCACCTGCTGTGTGTCAGTCGTGGGGTCCTGGGTGCTAGCATGGGGGACACCGTCCTCCCCCTCAAGCAGCTGACCTGGCACGTGCATGAGGGTTCTGGGCTCAGAGGTACCCCCTGAGCTGTGGCTCCCACATGCCATGGCCTCAGGACTGCCTGCCGGCTGGGCCCCACATGCCTAGATCAGGAGGGAGGATGGAGGGTCAGCTCCTGTCTGCTGCCCCGCTCCACTGGCCTGACCTTGTGGCCACCGAGCCCTTGGAAGATAGAGTGGCCCCCACAGGACCCAGCATGCTGCTGGCCAGCCAGTACTTACAGCCACTGAGCCTCCTCCCCAGGTGCCCCTGGCTCTGTCCACCCTTGGGGGGCTTGGGGGGGGGGAACAGTGTTTTTAGATGAGGGGTACCTGCCGGGTGATCTGGGTGGCCCCCCAGCCCTCTTCCCATCCCCTAAGGCAGCCCTGGATTGGTCCTTGGGAAGACCAGGAGGGTGTCCCCAAGGCAGGTCCTATCCTGAAGTGAGCGGCCTCTTGTGTATGTCACAGGCTGGGGTGGGGGCTCTGGGTCCCCAGGAGGACCTAGCTGCTGGCCTCACAGATATGCCAGGAAGTGGGGACACCCCTAGGAGAAGGGCACCCAACTCCCTGCTATACCTGAGCACAGGGCTCCCCTGCTCAGACTCATGTAAACCTGGACTGGGGTGGGGCAGCTGCAAGTCAAGAGAGGAACACGAGCTCCCCATCACCCCCATCTCAGCCCTGACTCTGCCAAGCAAAGGCTGACAGCTGGGCCGGGGGTGTGAGGACCGTCACAGGGTCACCCAGGGCCCCAGGCCAAGTCCTGGAGGCCCCACCCCCTCCAAGCAGGTGCGTCCTCCCCAGCCAAGACACACACTACCACCCACAATCGCTGGTCTGTCTTACCCTCTTCTAGTCAAGGAAATTCAAGCCTCAGAGGCAGGAGGTCTCATTCTGGGTGGAACTGAAAACCTGGAGGTCCCCCCGGAGCACCGGTCCCCGTGGGGAGCAGCCCTAGTCACAAGTTCTCGGGGATTGGTTTTCTAGACCCTCTCTACCCAGACACAAGGGTGCTGTGCCCAAGACATTAACATTTAAAGAAACATTTTAGCACTGGCAGAAGAATTTCTCTACGGTGGAAGCTCACAGCTCAGCAAGGGTAGTCACTGTGCTTACCTCACACACCTCGGCGTGGCGGGCTGCTTGTGCTTCTGGGGTCCGTCTCCCTCGTGCTCTGCAGTGGAGACGTGGGGAACACACGGCCCGCCCGGCTACAAAGGGATGCTGTGGTTCCAGAAAGTGACAGCACCGTTCACAACTGCATGAAACGCGGCAGGGCTCACAGGGAAAGCGGGGTCGGGTGCACGGCCTCAGAGTTGTCCCCCCGGGAGGGAGGTGTCCACATGCTGAGGGTCAGGACAGACGCCACCACCACTACTAAAGGAGTGGGGCGGGACACCAGGTGTGCATGGGTGTGTGGTCTGTGTTCATCTACAGAGTTTGGGCAAAATCACACATAAAAACCTGCGTTCTGTTCCAACTTCCCTCCCGCTGACTGCGCTGGACGCATTCTGTGGTTTCAGAACAAGCATCACAGCACAAGCCGGCTGTCCGTCGCCCCAGGGCCTGCCCCTTGCAGGGACTCCCTCCAACACTACCCTCTCCCGGGAGGTTCTCTGGGCAGTTTGTGGGGGGCTCAGCACTCTCCTTCCCCCACCCCATGGCCTGGGTGCAGAACCTGTCACAATGCAGGAACCCACTGGATTTGGTTTCTCACATGCAAATAAGCCACCGCCGTGTAGTTACATGCAGATCACGAGACTGTCCCGACATTGGCCGTGTGTGGCTGTTCACAGCACCCCCTGTGGGCACGGTCTGCACAGACTCGGCCACCGCTGGCCTCGGCACCCGCTCCCGCCCACCGGACCCAGGAGCTCACTCAGAAAGGACGAGCGCTGCAAAGCCCAGTATAAAGGATTTATTTCAACTCAACAAATAACACAAACCTTCCTTTAAATTCCATTTTACAGTCAATAAAAGTGTGTATCTCACTCCTTCCCATGCATGATCACTGTGTATTAATCTACAACTCTTATTTTAATTGTGAAAAAATAAAGTGTTTCCCCTCTTGTCATTGCTCTGGGAGCATCTGGTATAGCGTCAGTGAGAAAGGGCAGGTCTGCTCGCTCCTGGACTGGTTAATTGGTGAAAACCTACAACGCCAGGTCAAAGGAATCAATCACCCGAAGAAAATAAATACTGCATTACGAAACGTGGAAAGGACTCCTGATCCCTTTGTGAGACCCGTTCCAAATGGCCGTGGCCTCGGGGTGCAGCACAGAACAGCCGCCCAGATGCTCTCCGGGACACTGGTGGCCAGGCCACCACAGGATGTCCACACGGGGCGGCTGGACAGCGGCCACCCCCCCACACCAACCATGACGGGGTCAGGCCTATGGGCCTGCACCGGACGCCAGGTCGCCTCCCAAAGCAAACCAGACACAAAGGACAGGGAGAGGGTGGTAGCGCGGCAAGGCCTGTGCTTTATTGTGGGGCAGTCTGAAGATGCGCGTGCAGCCCAGCCAGCACGGCCGCAGCACGCCGCGCGGCCCCGAGCCGGCACGCAAATGCTGACGCGGCTACCACCACCTCACAAATGGGAGCCCCGAGTGTGAGGGCCCGGGGTCGGGGCGTCTTCATGCAGGCCAGGTGGACGGGGTCAGTCGAGCTCAATGGGGCTGCTGTCGTCCTGACTGTCCTCGCCCTCCTGCTCCGAGGCGCCCATGAGGCTGCTCAGAAGGTTCCCTGGAAGCAAACGCAGGTGCCATCAGGGGCATGGCAGCTGCACACTGTCAGCACCTCCCTGCCTGGGGAATCCCACCTTCCGTGGCACCGTGTTCCAGGGCTTTAATAGGTTGAGCAAACCCCCCAACCACAAGTCTCTGGGAACACTTGGCATGTCTGCAAGGACCTGACAGCTGGGGAGAGACCCCAAGTGCCCATCGGGGGACACAGCACAGCACCTGGGACAGCCCTGGGGAGGTCACTGTTGAGCGGACACAAGCATGTACGTCATACAGGTGCACACTCTTACAGGTGTCCAGAAAGAGGTCAGGATGCAAGTTTCAAAGGCCACACGCAGAAATGGTGACCACTGTTGCCCATAGGAGCTGCCACCATTGACACTTTGCTTATCTATTTTTATTCAAAGAACAAGGATTCAGTATAAATTCGGGAGGTCAGAAAGTCCCCTGAAACCAAACCATCATGAAAACAAATGGAAACGTGAACAATGTTCTCTGGATAGATCCAGGCGTATGAACTCAGGTCCAATGAACAAGCCACGAGCAGCCCGGGTGCTGGAAGGGGCGAGTCTGAAGTTCTGGTGGGAAATGAAGGAACATGAGGTGCCAGGACACCCTGTGGTGTGGAGCGAGGGCAGGACGGCAAGCTGAGACACGCAAGTACCACCTTGGCTTCGGATGCCCGCAGCCCCATCCAGGCCCGGGATGTAGCAGAAGTGTGGGGACACATGGTGGGGACCCCTTCACTAGACCAATCCTGACCCGCAGTTTACAAGAAGAAAGTCCAATTACCAACAACTTTCACAATGATCTCAGAGGACCTTTCCACAGAGTGCACTTTGGCCCAGAGAACACAAACACCCCGGCCCAACCCTGCAGGGCCCACGAGCGGGGAGCCACACGGGTTCAGGCAGTGGGGTGGGAGCAGTGTCACCGACCTTTGTGGGACGAGCCCCCCCACCTGAGCCTATCACCTGGGGCCACCTCAGGTCCGGCCAGAACACGGTGCAGTCAGTGTGGGGGGACGCGGACCCTTTACGTGGGATAGCCATCTATGTATCTGCAACGCCACTTCCAGGAGACTGAGGAAGGAAGCCACATGCTGCCTGGCCCTGCGAGACCTCTAAACGGCTGGACAGGTTTAGGTGCATACCGGTGAACTACAAACTCCATAAAATAGGATGTACCTGCTCAAAAGTAACACCACACTCAAGCTCAGAAAAGCCACTTTCACATGAGAGGACTACATCTGGTGGTGGAGGCCAGAAGTTTGCATGAGACCCAATGGAAGACCACACCATGTCGCCATCCAGGCAGACGAGGGGCAGAGGCCTGCCCTTGATGCACAGGGTCACAAACCTGTCCTCTAATGCCCACTGAGACTAAATCACGAAGACATGGACCATCTGAAGGGGCCTATGAACGAGGAAGGAGATGGGATCAGGCGTTGGAAATTCCCAACCAAGAAAAGCCCTGGCCCTGATGGCTTTACTGGTGAATTCTACTCCACATTTAATAACCAACACCAATCCTCTTCAAGCTTTGCAAGAGAACTGAGGAGGAGGGAGCACCTCCCAACTCATCCTATGGGGCCAGCATAACCCCAAAGATACTATGAGAAAACCACAGACCAGCATCCCCTGTGAACACGGATGCCAACACCTTCACCAGGCAACTGGAGAACAGGGCTCGGCAGCATGTGAAGGACGATGCACCACAACAAGGGGCTTCATCTGTGGAGTGCACAGAGGGCTCCCTGTGAACACCTGCCAGAGTGACGCACCACGTCAGCAGAACCAGGGGAAGCCCGCATGATCGTCTATCTCAGCTGATGCAGGAAGAGCACTTGACTACACCCAACGCTCCTATAAAAGCACTCAACAAACCAGGAACAGGAGGAACCGCCTCCACACAGTCACTGCTGTCTCTGAAAACCTTACGGCAAATGTAATCCTCAGTGGTGAGTAGGAACAAGGGGACGGTGCCTCCTCTCACCACCTCCAGCGCACCCACAGTACTGGAAACTGTGGCCAAAGCAATCAGGTATGAGAACGAAGGAAGAGGCATCTACAGTGGAAAGGAAGAAGTAAAATGATCTGTTTGCATATTAGATGGTCTCATATGCAGAAAACCCTAAAGACTCCATGAAAGAGCTGTTAGAATAAGTGAATTCAGCAATGCAGCAGGATACAAAGTCAGCACACAAAAATCAGCTGTGTTTCTCTATGTCAACAATGAACAATCTGAAAAGGAAATTATAAAGTCATAAATAAATGGAAGTACTTCCCGTGTCCACAGATTAGAGGACTGGACTTGCTGCTAAGACCAATGCCACCCAACGCCATCTACAGGGTCAATGCAGTCCCTGTCAAAATTCCAACAGTTTGTTTGCAAGAAAAGAAAAACTCATCCTTAAATTTATATGGAACTGCAATGGACTCAAACAGCTAAAATGATCTGGTAAAAAGAACAAAACTGGAGGGCTCGCATTTCCTGATTTCAAAACTTATTATAGAGTAGTAACAGCAGTGTGGCGTCCACAAACAGCCACAGGCCCACAGAACAGAAGACAGAGCCCAGATACAAGCCCACATGCATAGGAGTCAAACAGTGTCTGACAAGGTCATGAGACCACGCAGCGGGGAGAGGATGGTATCTTCAGCAAACAATGCCAGGACACTGGACCCCTACCTCACACCATGTACAAAACCCCTCTACTAAATGGATCAAAGACCTAAAGGTAAACCCTAAAACAATGCAACTCTTAAAAGACGACACTGGGCCAAAGCTTCCCAGCACCGAACCAGATGATGACTTTATGGATGGGACACTAAAGGCAAGAGCAATGGAGAAGAAACAGATAAACTGGACTTCGTGAAAACTTAAAATTCTATGCATCAGAAGACAATACCCACAGAGAGAAAAGGCAGGGGAGTGTGGAGGGGGTGAGCAGGCTGAGCACAGATTTTTAGGACAGAAACCATGCTGCAGGACTCTCTAGTGGTGGCCATGTGTCTAAACCTATAAACGTACAGCATCAAAAGTGACCCCCAACACAAACCATAAACTTCAGGTGCTGTGTCCATGTAGGGTTATCAATTTTAACAAAATTACTGCTCTGACCAGGGTGCCTGTAACTCCTGTGAGGGCATAACTTCCTCTTTATCTCACTATGAAGCTAAAATTGCTTTTACTTATTTAAAGACTTAGTTAAGAGAGAGAGCGAGAGAGCGCACGTGCACATATAAATGTGAGCAGGAGGCACAGAGAGAAGAATCCCAAGCAGGCTCCGTGTTGAGTGTGCAGCCCAATACAGGGTTCAATCTCATGACCTGAGCTGAAACCAAGAGTTGGACGCTTAAACCAAGGGTCAGACTGAGCCACCCAGGGCCCTGCTGAAACTGCTTTTAGAAAACAGTCTTTAAAACAAATGGCAATCCACAGAACGGGAAAAAATATTTCAGAATTTTATATACGATAAGGGATCGTCGACACCTAGTATAGAGAACTCACCAACCTGACTTAAAACATGACTTGAATGGACACACAGACACACAAATGGCCCATAAGCCCAAGAAATGACGTCACTAATCATCAGGGCGACGTGGGTCAGATCCACAGTGAGACCCCACCTCACACCCACCACGGAGTCCTAGACAAAGTGAGTGTGGGCGAGGACATGGAGAAACTGGAGCCCTGCACACAGCTGGGAAAGGCAGTCTGGCAGCATCTCAAAAATTAAACAGTTTCGATGCGACCCAGCAATCCCAGCACTGGATGCAGGGGCTCAGATATACACCCCCCGTGTTCACAGCAGCATTATAGAGTCCATCATGGAGAGATGGGTAACACGGTGGGATCCGTCCACACAATAGGTCACTGTTCAGCCTCAGAAAGGACACCTGCCACCACAGGGATGTACCCTAAGGACGTGAGGCCGAGTGACACAAGCCAGACGCAGGACACACGTGGGGACCCCATGCACACGAAGTCCCGGTGTCCTAAGACTCACAAAGAAAGTAGATGGCAGGGCTGGGGGAGAGGGCAGGGGTCAGTGTGTCACGGGGACAGAACATTCTGGAGCCGGTTAAGGAGAAGGCAGCCCAGCAGTGGGAATGTACTCGGTGCCCCTCAAGTGGACACTGAGAAATGGTTAAACAGCAAATTTTAAGACATGCGTATTTTACCAGAATAAAAAAGCAATCTGCCTTGATTCTGAGGTCAACGGAGAGGGAGCACTAGGGATGACAGAGCCTCTAGGCTGGGTTTGGCCGGCCCGAGATGTGGGGCCCCCAGAGAGCAGCATGAGCAAGCCCGGCAGTGCCAGGGGAGAGACCCAGTGCGGGCCGGGTGTCACACAGCCAGGCCCACTGTGTGCCCTCCCAGTGGGTGCCCCCTGCTCCCATCTTACCTAGCAAGCCCCCGTAGGACGACGTCTGCTTGGGTGGCACACCGAAGAACAGCTGCCCTATCCTGTCGAGGTACTGGAGGAGGCAGGGGCATGGGGTTACTGTGGGGCTGGAACATGCTGGATGCACAAGACCTCCCCCCACCCTCATCTCAGGTCCTGTCCTGTCCCTGAGGGCCACACAGGGACTGGGGATGTCTCCTCTCCAGCGGCTACCCAGCCCCACCCACCACTCACCTCATTGTACATTGGGTCCCGCCGGAGGGACGGCTGGTACTGCTCACACAACACTGTGAACACCGTCAGTTTGCCTCTGAAACAAGACAATGGGGCACACAACTCTTTCCAAGTGAAAATCACAGAACAAGAAAAGCGCCCGTACACACCCCCTGCACACGCAGGGAAGACTCACCCGTCTACAGCCAACAGCAGAAACCAGATGAAGTTGAGCAGGGGCTGCACGAATGGAGGGCCGTTCTCAATGGATGGGTGTTTCTGCGTGTACGTTGTGAAAACCACTGACGCACTGCTTTTGTTTTTTAAACAGAGAAACCTGGAAGTCATATCCTAGTAAGAGGGATGCTGAAGGAGGAAATGGCAGCACTTCTACAGAAGCTCACATGCTCGCTGGACACGGTGCCTCCAGGGGTGCAGAAAGCTGTCGGACAGCCCCCGGGCCGCCGCCTGCCCGCATGATCCCGCAGCTCTGGTGGCCTGAGGAGCTGCCGGACCAGGCTTGATGCTCAGATGAACTGCCCCTGGTGAGCAGGGCACCTCATGATTCCCACAATTTACAGGTGAAGAGATTAAACTGGGGAAGGTGACCATGTCCAAGGTCCAGAGCTATGACACTGCAGGGAGTTCTTGGGACTACAGCCTGTTTGCACCCATCAGGCCTGTCTGCATGAGCAGTCAGCCCAGGGACCCCTGGGAATGAGGCCGAGGGTGCCCCCAGACACTGTGCTGGGTGGGACGACATCCCCACAGTGGGATTTCACCGTGAGGAGGCCTCCACCTTGTGATAGTATAGGGAGGGACCTACGAGAAGGTGTTTGGTGGACTCCAGGGACTCTGCACCATATGCCACACGGCCAGGGGCAGGGAGCTCTGGGGTCTGAGAAATGTTTCCGTTTTACGGTAGCAGACACCAGCAACATGTCACTGTGTGGCGGACGTGGAAGCTCTGAGGTGCTGTCAAGTACAGCAAGCATTCTGTGACCCCAACCTCTTTAAACTCATAAGATGCTCCCTATCTCAATGCCTGGCCACCAAATCCAAATGTTTCTTCAGTTAGAGCACACTCGAGACGTCCTGAGCTCAGGCGGGTGGTATGGGCCCACTGGAGTGCTCGCTGCAAACCCTCCCTCCTGTGCTGAGGGTGCCAGCACCACCCTGGTCCTCAAGGAGGAGGAGGAAGCGAGGAGGCCTGAGGGGAGGAGGACAGGCTCGGGCTGCAGCAGGGGGTGGCGCTGGGGCATCACCACTCTCACAGGAAACCTTCAGACACACGAGATGTCTCAGAAGGTAGAAGCAGCCTCAGGGAAGCTGCAAAAGCATGCACACTCCTCATTCCAAGACACCCATCAAGTTTATCAAATACATGTGCCCTACAAAAAATAGTGGCCTGATATTAAAAAAACCAAAAACAGGGAAGAGGCAAAGTGAGAAAACAGAAGCTGGGCGGAACGCTCGTTCAGAACACTCACTTCCCTGCTGCCTGACTGAGGTCTCACCAGTCAGCCCAGGGGAGTTAAGGGGATAGCATGCAGTGTCCCTGACAGGTCTGCGCAGGCACAAGGGATGGAGCCCCGGGCAGCTGTGCCAGCCCAGATGTGACCGAGTAAACGTGGGTACCTACTGTAGCACCGCCTGGGCCACGAACATGTCCACCTCGCTGCGGAAGCCTCTGGAGGTCGAGTACTCCACCAGCATGTGGGCACAGCCTTCGCCATCCGCAGAGTGCAGGAAGTGGTACCGGGACTCACAATAGTTCTGCTCTACAAAGGGAAGGGGGGGCACCGACGAAGAGAGACATGTCAGCGTGCCGTCCCCTGCTCGCATTCACCTGCCTTCACTCTGCATACCTGGTCCACGCATGGGGCAAACACACACAGTGGGGGAGGGTGGGCTTCCAGCTGAACTGCTCCGCCCCGGTGCTCAGGGTCCCTGCGTCTGTGCTCATGTGAGCAGACCCACGAGGAATGGCCCACAGGGGACCCTCGGACTCACATGGCGGTAGTTCCATATGCTTCTGATGAAATGAGATGCAAGGCACACTGACCTCCACACGCAAATGCCCTGAATCTCGTGTGGCAGCTAGGACCAGGTCAGGCCACCTGTTCTCTCAAGAGCCTCACGGCCCCCGCCCTCCTGACACGCATGTGCTGAGCCCTTGGCCGGCCAGCCCTCCTGCCTCCTCCAAGGCACGTTCCACGTCCACAGATTCAATCACCATGTTCACGGTCCATCCCCCACAAAAGGCAGAGCTCCCCCTAGGCAGGGGAAGAAGACCTTCTGGATGAAAGTCCCTGTGAGGAGGGATAGGTCCTGCGTGCAGCAGGAACACGTCTCATCCCCACGGTGGCCCCAGAGGAGACCAGGGGGTCCCCCTCAACATGGGGTCACCTGGGAGCTAGTCAGAAATATGGAATCTCGGGCCCCAAACTGGAACCTGTGCCCCAACAGGTGACTCAGTGACATGCTCATCTCAGGGGCCTGTCACCCTGTTCCCTGTGGCTACACCTTTCAGCAAGGCATGAGACTTTAGTGCTAACAGCACAGCAGGGGACAGGCAAGGACGTGCTAGGGGGTGGCTCCTCCAATGCTCAACTGTTTGTAAGCGTTTGTTAAAAAAAAAAAACGACAAAAATCCCAATCTTCCCAATATCAGTAAATGACTCAGGCTGTAAACCTACTCTCCCCACTCATCACTTAAACATCTGCTACCCCGCACACTGCGGATTCAACACCCCACCCCTCCATTTCTGGCTGCCAGAGCTACACGGGCGTGCTCAGCAACCAACCATGCACAGAACACCCAGAGTGGCAGGTGGGCCAAGGCAGAGACCCAGACCACCTCCCCACACCCGGGCTTGTCTCCTGGAGCAGACTGGCCCACGCCCCTGTCCTGCTCCCAAGCCACCTGGTTCCCATGCATGTCCAAGGCTGAGGCCCCGTGCCTTAGCTGCCTGACACCTTCTACTGGGAACACCTGCTCCTGCCTGGGCACAGCTGCCCTCCAGACCTCGGCACCAGCTCTCAACGCCCAGCACGCTGCCTTTAGGACCTCAGAATAATTCTGATTCTGCATTTCTTTGTGTACCTGTGCTGTTTTGCCTCTCCTCACTCCCTTGGACCCCTCAAAATAACCTTTTGGTTTTAGAGTATCATAGAAGAAAAATTAGGCAAAACTACACCCACATTCTGTCTAAGCACACAGCTCCCTCCAAGAACTGGACTGGTACCCTTGCAGGAGCATCTTGGGCCAACTGTGGGCTCAGTTCCAGACCACCACAACAAAGCAAGTTCTGCAACAAAGTAAATCAAACTTTCTGGTTTCCCAGTACACATAAAAGCTATGCTGACACTAAAGTCTGATAAGTAAGTGTGCAAGAGCATGGTCTGAACACCAGGTGCTAAGAAATTGTAATCACCACCTGAGTTTTTGGGGTCTTCTCTATTTGCTGGTGGAGGGTCGTGCCTTGACGATGGTGGCTGCTGACCAATCAAGGTGGTTGTGCTGAAGGCTGTGGTGGTCATGGCAAGTTCTTTAAAATGATGTCTGCTGCACTGAAGGACTCTTCCTTTCACGAGGGATTTCTCTGTAGCATGTGATAACCTTGTACCAACAGGAGAACTTCTTTCAGACTGGGTGTCCTCTCAAACCCTGCTTCTGTTTTATCAGCTCAGTTTATGTGATTTGTCACAGCATCTTCACCAAGTGTGGATTCCATCTCAAGAAACCACTTCATCCATAAGACGCATATGCTTGTCCATTAAAGTGTGAGATGGTAGTTCAGTCCCACCTTCACGCTCTTCTGATTCTAGTTCTCTGGCCATTTCCATCACATCTGCAGTGACTTCCTCCACAAAGTCTTGAACCCCTTGAAGTCATGCATGAGGGCTGGAGTCAACTTTTAACAAACTCCAGTCACTACAGATATTTTGACCTCTTCCTATGAATCAAGGGTGTTGGTGTTCTTAGGGGCATTTACAATGATGAATCCTTTCTGAAAGTTTTCAATGGGCCTTTCACAGAACCATCAGAGGACTCCCTGTCTGTGGCAGCAATAGCCTTGTGAAATGTATTTGTTAAATAATAACACTTGAAAGTTGAAACGACTTCTTGATCCATGGGCTGCAGAATGGATATTGTGTCAGGCATGAAAACATTTATCTTGCTGCCCATCTCCATGAGAGCTCTTGTTTGACCAGGTGCAGTGTCAGTAAGTAGTAACATCTTGATAAGAAGCTTTTTTCCTCAGCAGGTCTCAAGAGCAGGCTTAAAATGTTTAGTAAACCATGGTGTAAGTAAATACACTGTCATCCAGGCTTTGTTGTTGGATTTACAGAGGACAGGGAGAGTAGATTTAGCATAATGCTTAAGGGCCCTAAGATTTTCAGAATGCTAAATGAGCATTGCTTTCAACTTAAAGTTACCAGCTGTATTAGCCCCTGACAAGAGTCAGCTTGTCCACTGAAAACAAGCACTGACTTCTCTCTAGGTACAAAAGTCCTGAAAGTCCTAGACAGCATCTTCTAATATCAGACTGTTTCATCTACGCTGAAATCTGCTGTTGAGTGCAGCCACCTTCAGTAATGATCTCAGCTAGATCTTCTGGGTCACTTGCTTATCATGCACCTAGAGGGTTACAGAGAAGGCTTCCTTCCTGAAACCTCATGAACCAGCCTCTGCTGCTTCTCCCTCTTTCTGCAGCCTCCTCACCTACCTTAGCCTTCGTTCACTACTTGGCTGTTTGATGCAGAGGCCTGGCTTTCAGGCTACCACAGCTTTGGACAAGCCATCCTCATTGAGCTTAACCATCTGTAGCTTGTTATTTAAAATGAGAGACATGTGACTCTTCTTTTCACTGGAACATGAAGAGGCCACTGTAGGGTCATGAACCAGCCCAATTTCAATACTGCTGGCTCTCAGGGAACAGGGAGACTCAAAGAAAGGGGGAGTCATGGGACCGGCTGGTCGGTACAGCAGTCAGCACACAAACATTTACTGATGAAATTCACCCTCTTCTAGGAACACGGTTCCTGGCACCCCAAAACGTACAATATCAAGGATCCCAATCACAGATCATTGTAATAAATTATAATGAAAAAGCCTACATGATCACTAGAATTACTGACTGTGCCAGAGACACCAAGTGAGCAAGTGCTGTTGGAAACATGGGTGACAATAAACTTGCTCAAGGCAGGGTAGCCACAAACCCTCCGTTTGTAAAAGATGCGGTATATATGAAGTGCAGCAGAATGAAGTATGCCTGAATGATGGAATACCACACAGCAAACGTGCCATGTGGATGCAAGCTGTGGATAGCAAACCAACACGGCAGCAGGTGGCTCTGCCTCATCGGACGCACCTGCCTGGAGCTCCCACTCCACCACCCCAGAGGGAAGCCTGGTTGTGGGCCTGTCCCTGGGCGCCACAACAATGTGGACACGAGCCATGGACATTCTGGGGGAGGACAGGACATGGAGTCTGTGCTTCTCACTCGGGATTTGTGCCTCAAGCACTATGTGTAATTGCTATATTTTGAATTTTAAAATCGTACTATTAGACATACATGCCCTGTAGCTGGCTCTTAACCAGTGAAGCCTCTGAAGGACTGCTGAAGCGTAAGTTTTGCTTCTCAGCTAGGGACACAGGGTCATGTTCCACTTTCTGCCTGGCATCTCCCCACACACTCCAAAAATATAGACTGGGCCAAAGGAGTGCTAAATAAATGCTCGCTGGCAACACAGGTTTGCCATAGGCGCTCCTGACTGCAGATCCGGCTGCCCGGGAAGATGAGGCAAGAGTCTAGGGCAGGGGCCTTTGGGGCTCCCCACCTGCCCCCCGCCAGGCTGGCCAGCACAGATGGCTTCCTGCCGAGAGGTTTCCTGGCAACGGCAGTGAGAGCTTGACACCCCAGCATCCTTAGGGTGGGACAGACAGAAAGTACACAGGCACCACGCTAGCTGTGAAGGCTGGGGTGGCCCAGGTATGGAGGAATGTGCGCCAGCAGGGGAGGGAGCCCACACTCGCCTTGGCCCGGAGGTGCCAGCTGCTCTCTTAGGCCCCACGTCCTCCTTGAGTAGGAGTGTGGAAGGAATTCTGCCCTCCAAGAAACTTCCTCAACAGTCTGGCCTGTGAATTCATTTCATCTTACAGGGTGAGGGTAGGGGTGGCATGTCAGTGTGGAGGGGGATGGAGGAGCCTCCTGCCTCGTGGGTCACGGGGGGGGGGGCGCACACGGCGGAGTGAGCGCCATGGCCCACAGGGGAGATGGGAGGAGGCCACATATGCTCACACAGCGGGCTTCCCAGCTGGGTTCGTGGCAAGCGCCCACCACACGTGTGCGTGCCACTGCACAAGAAGCAAAGCAGGAAGGTGTCCTGGGCCCATGGGCTATGGAGGAGACTGACCACCTCCTATGATCTGACCACCATGCCACTTGCTGGAAAGAGGCTGTTTCCAGGAGGAGCTTGCTGTCACAGAAGTTACTGGCAGAAGGTCACCTTCAAGCAAAGGAGGCGGCCCCTCTGCTCCCACCAAGGTACCTGCCAAACATCACCTCCCCTTCGCCTGCCCCCAACCCAGTGGGCAGCCGCTAACACCAGAGCACACAGGTGGACCCCCGGGACGGCTGACACAGTGTGAATGAGCTGCCTGCACAGTGCTCTTAGAATCTTCTGAACAAATGCTGTTCCAGGGCACCCAACCAAATGCCTTTTCCTGTGCCTGAGCAGCAGACTCAGAGCTCCAGGTGTGAAGCGCACCCAGAAACTGCCAGGAAACCCTTCGTAGACTGAATAGTCCCCACAAATACTTCCTCAGAAGCTGAAATAGATGTGAAGAAGAAAATACAGAGCACAGTGCCCTCAGAGCCCTCAGAGAACCAGTCCGGGGAGGATGTCCCAGAAAGGAAACTGGTTGGGGGACAGGGATGGCCAAGGCCGCCCCACGGAAAGCAGAATCTTCCCTCATTACTTGTGGCCCATGAGTTCAACACAAAAGCCAAAGGGGAGCATAAATAGGGATAGCTGTTCCTGGGACCACCAGCGCCCACCACCAAGAGATGCTCTGTGCATGGGGGTACTGGGCCTACCTTTCCACAGGGTGAGGGCCAGCAGTTGGTGGAGCCGAGGGTGACCCAGTTTCCCAGATCCTCCACTGGACCACTTCAGGGCTCGAGACACAAAAGCCACCCGCTCTGGAGAATTTGGGTCCATCAAACTGAACAATTTAGCCAGATTTTCTAAAACAACACAAACACAGATTCTTACCCAAAGAAACAGTACTTCTCAGCTCTCTGTATGCTGCATCTTACAAAAATTCACTAAAATAAAAGTTACTTCACTTCAAAACCTGGGAATTGGCATGCTGTGGTGTCCTCGTGCATGTACCCCTCCTGCCCGCCAGGTCCCAGGGACCCTCAACCGACCTCTCAGCTGCAGAGCCAACAGCCACACACTCCTTTGTCAAGGAGCTGAGTGGGGGTGTGGGCTATAGCAGGGAGCTGGCCTACAGAGGAGGAAGGTCTGGGCAGGTAGGGAGGTAACATGCCGGAGTACAGAGGCCAGGAGCAAGTCCCTCCTCCATCCTTCCAGCCAGGCAGCTCCTAAGAAGGACTTCCGCATTGGACATTTACCACACGGGGCAAGCTGGGCAGCCAGGTCTCTGGGACACAACCGGAGCGTGTGTTTAGGGGTATCACTACTCCATGTGTGAAGGTACCTCATGCATAGTAAGAAAGCCTCACCCAACAGCTCATCGGCCACCTCGACTTCAGCCTTCTCCAGTGACTCTAAGACCAGCATGGACAAGTCCGCAGCACTGTTTTGCTACAAAACATGGAAGTGAGTTAGGATCACAAAAACAGAGCTCTGGCTGGTTCTCAGAAGACACGGCAAAGCTGGGTGGCCGCTCCCGTCTCCAGCTAGAAACGCATGGTGGTGCAAAGCTAAGGAGACTCCTTTGAGCCCAGAGCTCACGTGGCAGTGCGTCCTGAAGGATGGAGACCCCAGCTGACATGCAGTGCACCCTCAGGTAGCACCCCACGACAATGAGGACAGTCGCCCAGCCGTGGACCGCACCAAGAACAGTCCACGGTTCTCCACCACGCCTCTCCATGGATAGTCCTCTTCCAACCCGCAGGCCCCAAACAGAGAAAGGGACAAGCCCGCTGCGTACTTGGCCGTGGCTGAAGAACAGCAGCGCCCCTGAGCACATGAGCTCCCGTGCCTCTGTGTGCTTGCTCTGTGACATGTATCTGTAAGAGAGAGAAAAGGAGCAGAGCCCCAGTTAGGTCCAGTGAGGCAGATGCTTCAGTGCAGACATCCTCCAACACACTCTCTTCATTACATTCACCCGACCCAATGGCTATAGTTTGGAGATTAAATGCTCAAGCTAAAATGAGTAAACATGAAAGCTTTACAAAGCAAACAATCCCGTACACACACTTGAAGGGATACAGGCCTCCTTCCAAAGATGGAGTGGAGCTCTGTTCTGTTTCCTGAGGCCCACCACCTCACCCAGTGGTCAGTATCCTGCCTACTCTGAGTCTGTCCAGGCTCCACGTTGGGGTGCCCTTGGGCCCCTGCTGTCAGCAACTTGGGCCTCTGGGGACCAGCAGACCCATGTCCCACATCTGACAGCAGCGCTGGCAGGGATGCTGTCCGTGCCCAAACGTGCCTGGAGCAGCTCAAGGGTTTCAGCAGAATGACCCAGAGAAAGCCTGGGTGACTTCCACCTTCCAGCATAGGCCGTGCCTGGGTGGAAGGAGGGGCATAAGGGATGGAGTGGCACACTGGGGCCCATCAAAGAACCAGGGGTCAAAGCAGCGCTCAGAGGCTGGGACAGTGGGAGCTCCTGGATGGAGACTCAGGGGGGATGGACACACAGCACTCACTGTGATGACTGCACCAACAGTCTCTGCGTTCCGGCTCCTGCCCCCGCACCACTAATGGAGGGCCCTTCCATCCTTTCCTACCCTTTCCCACTCTGAACACATTTCTCAGTTTCCTGAGCTGCAGACACAGAAGCACAGAGCAGCCAGAGCCTGACAAGTAACTAAACACAAACAACGGGATGATGATCTGCCTGCAACACACCAGCTGGGCCTGAGAGAAAGTCAGCAGGAAGCGGCTCCCCAAAGCTGACACTGGATTCACTGGCTGGAAGTTTAACTTCATGATCATCAGAAAAAAAATAGAACCAAACAGTCTGTGCCTCCTGGTCAAGACACAAAAACTAAAGAATAATACTATAGCAGCATCACTGAGGTGCTACCAAGACAGGCAAACACTGAACACGCACACCTGGGAGCGTGCCTGCAGCTCCCCCGGAGCAACAGGTCAGGTGGGAATATGAGTAGCCTAGCCGTTCAATTAACTACAGGAACAGGCTTTTCCTCAAAAAGGTTCCACAACCAGACACCCCCCCCCATCACATGCAGGGAAACCCCACAACCCAGGAAAGAAAACCTCCGCCAGCTGGCAGGGTACACGCAGGGCCTGCAGTTTCTGCAGCAGCACTGTTGCGAGCTGCGTCTCTCTCTCTTTCGCACGCTCACACAACCTACTCCCACACCAACCCAACTCATCCCAGTCTCATCCTGCTGGGAGCCATCCAGCACACGACCTGGGGCCAGCACTGCCACTGGCTATTCTGGAAAGACAAGTATTCAGAGGCACACCCCCTCATGCTGCCATCTGCGTGGACACATACACACTTATCCTAAGTGACCATCTTGCCAGGGAGCTGCTTACTTAAGACGTGACCAAACCCCAGGCTCATCTGACACAGAGCAAGAGACCACCTCTCAGAACACCTGATGAAAGCAATTGCTAAGAAGCAGGTGACAGCAAATCCCTGGGATAACAGGGCCTGCTTTCAAGCACCCGACGTAACTCCCTTCCTGGGGCTAGGGGCCCAAGGGGGATGAGATGATGTGCCATTTCCAGCACCTGTCCCCTCCAGGTGAAATCACCTGTTGCGGTTTGAGGAAAGTCAGGAAAAAAAAAAAAACCCACAAAAAAAAAATAGTGAAAGGCAACCCTGAAAAATGAACGTGCTTCTTTCTGCAGAATTCAGGGTATGGGAAGGGATTTAGTGTCTGGGTCCAAGGCCTGGGAGGGGGGCTGAGAGCAGGAGGAGCAAGAGCCCTCCAGCCAGGGCCCACGCACACAGCTCTGATGTCTGCACCCACACATGTAGCGTCGGCACACCTGGTGGGTGTGTGCTGCTGCCATCTCCCACCTAACAACTGACTGCGGAGGGGGTCAAAGAGAGAGGGCTGAGCAGACTCCCCATGAGGCTCCATCCCAGGACCCTAGAATCACGACCTGAACCGAAGGCAGATGCTTAAGCCATGGAACCACTCATGTGCCCACTTAAGTTTTTCTTTTAAAAATTTTCATTTGATTTAAGAGACAAAATCACACAAGCCTCAGAAAGGCCCTGAGGGGAGGCAAGCTGCTGCAGAGGCATCCCCAGGGGGTGATGGTGGTGGCATGGGCCAAGAGGCCCTCTGGCCATCCCACAAAACAGCCATGGAAGCCAGAAGGGGGATGGAGGATGACAGAGCACCAGTAACCCAACAGGCCTAGAAAACGGACTCCCTTCTCATCTTGGCGGAGGGAGGTCTGAAGACACCGGGCGGCCACCCACTGGCATCAGTACCATCGATGGGCCAGAGCCTCCAGCTAACCGCTGGGACTCAACTGCTACCCACACCTGAGGCCCGCACACCGACCAAGTCCAACCCACTGGACTACCCCATTCCACGTCCCCTTCTCCTTCAATGGCTGTGAAACACGACAATAAAATCAGGGCAATTTGGAGGCGCCTGCGGGGGGGGGGGTTCGTTCGGTGAAACATCAGCCTTCAGCTCAGGTCATGATCCTGGGGTCCTGGGATCAAGCCCCGTGTTGAGCTCCCTGCTCAGTGGGGAGCCTGCTTCTCTCTGTCTCCACCGGCTCTTCTCCCTGCTTGCGCTCTATCAATAAATAAAACCTTTTTTTTGTGTGATCTTAAAAAAAAAAACCAGCAATGCGGTGAACATAGCCAACAGGTGAACGGGTCACAAACTGTGGTCCATCCACACTACAGAACACCACTTGGCAACAGAAATGAGTTAATGCTTCACACGTGGGTAAATCTCCAAATAATCACTCTGGGTTTTCAAAACATACAAAAAAGAGGATATGATTCCACTTACATTATATTCTAGAAAATGCAAATTAACTTATGGGGCCACAGACAGCAGTGGCTGCATGGGGCCAAGGGGTATCAGAGAGATTCTGAGAGAGAGAACAGAACCTTTGTGGTGATGGATGTTCTCCATTAACTTGATTGGCTGCGGTTTCATGAGAGCATACGCACCAAAACTCATCAAACTGCACGTTTCCTGTTAACACTTCGATATAAACATATAAAACCAAGAACCTGGGGTGACCCAGTAAATCAGACTTGTTCAGAGCCGCACACCCAGGAGGGTCTCAGTGAGGCTGGAGTCCCAGGTCTATGGGGATGGTACCCTGGGAGTCAAGGACAACTGGAGGCTAGTTCAGATGGGCCTTATGGATGGCCATGAATGCGACCATTAACTTCATGCCCGTGTGGCCAATGGCAAATGATTTACGTTCCCAACTCCCAAGAGGTGTAGGTGTACCCCAGATACACCACAGGGGAGGCCAAGGCTGGTCACAGGTCACAGAGGACAGGTGAATTCCAAGCCACATCAAGGCCGGGCTGGCGGAGAGCCTGCTTTCCGTCACCACCCCCAAACACACTTTGGCCAGAGAGCTGATCCCCACACAGCACAACTGTCTCTGAACAAGAAACACTGTTTATTTTTGGGAAGATCCAGTTTTGCTGGATCCAGTTTTGCTGATTAATCACCGGGGTGAACATCTACACAGCAATCCCAAGAACAGCAAGCTCCTGGGCCAATCTGGAGCACTGGGAAAGCTCCCCCTCAGATGCACGCACCTCGGGCTGGTGAAGATGCCAGACCAGGGAGGCCTGTGGCCAGCTTTGTTCACTCCTACCCCGTCCTCCGAGCCCTGGAGCTCGAGCATGCCCCGGACAGAACCGCAGAGTCCCAGAGCCTCCCATCCAACTTGTCGCTGATGCATAACAGGAAAGTCTAGGCCTGAAAGATGAACAGGCCCAGCCCGGCGGCCCATCAGTACCCTACCACTACGGCTTGGAGAGAAAAGGCCAGCTAACTGACTGAACCCCTGCACCTGTGGTTGGGGCCCACCACACCGACCCCCCGGGGCCGAGAGGGATCAGACTGTCCCACACACATCGCGACTCAGGTCACAGCAGCAGCACGTCCCAACCTAGCCACAGCTACCGTGCAGCCCACACGAGGGTCACCACGGGCCATACACCTGCCGACGCGTCAGGGCCGCACGGAGAAACGCCCTTTATTTCAGCACGCGTGGTGCTAGTCCTCCTGCACCTGCAAGGAGTCCCGCGCCCCCTGCGCCCCAGGAGACCCCGTGCCCCAGCCCCAAGACTCACCCCACCCCCAGAACCCCTGGCGCCCCCAGCCCCCGGGGCTCGCCGCGCCCCAGCCCCCAGTACTCGCTGCGCCTCCAAAGCATCCTGCACCCCCAACCCCGGGCACTCGCTGCGCCCCGAGGCCCCCGCTGCGCCCCCAGAGCCCCCCGTACCCCTGCCCCCGGGGCGGGCCGCGCGCCCGGAGCCCCCCGCACCCCCTGCCCTCGGGGCTGGCCGCGCCCCCGGAGCCCTTGGCCGCGTGGGTGTGGGCGGCGCTCACAGGCGCGGCTGCTCCACCGCGGGGCAGGAGCACGTTTCACCCGCACGAGCGAGGTGCTCAGGGCCGTAGAGCCCGGGGCTCGGTCCGGGCGAGGCCGCGGATGGGCACCACCGGGCCGGGGGCCGGGCAGGGGAGGCCGGGGAAGGGACGCCGGGGCCAGGGTGGGGCCCCGGGTTGGGGGCCAGGGTGGGGGCCCGCCCGGCGTCCCGGGTCCTCCGCCTCCCGGCCGCCCGCCTGCTCCCACCGCCGCGGCGACAGACAGCGGCGCGGGCCAATGGAGGCCCGGGGCGGCGCGGGGCGGCCAATGGGAGGCGGCCGGGGGCGGGGCGCCGGGCTCGGCGGAAAGCCCTGGAAGGCGGCGGCCGCGGCGCCGCGGCTACCTGAAGAAGAGGGTCCGGTACATTTGGTGCGCCTCGTAGTAGTCGCCCTTCTCGACGCTGGCGCGCAGCTTGCCCTCCACGCGCTGGACACCGCCTCGGTTCCGGGCGCCGTTCCGAGCGCTCTCCTGCTCGGCCATCGCCGCCGCCGCCATCGGGCCGGCGCTCCGCGCAGGGCTGACGCTGTCGCAGGCGCGGTCGGCAGCGCCTCTCGGCTTCCGTCCCGGCGGCCGCCCGACGCCCTCTACGGTGGCCCGCGAGGAGCTGCGCGCAGCTGCAGGCGGGCGCGCCGGCGGGCGGCCACGTGACCCGGGCGGGGGCGCGGAGCCTGCCGGGGGCCGCCACGTGACCGCGGGGCGGGGCCGAGCGCGCGCACGTGACCGCGGCTGGGCGAGCTGGCGCCACAATGGCGGCGGCACGTCACGGCGGGGCGTCGTGTCCTGCCTGCCCGCCGCGGGTGTACCCAGCGCGAGGGACCCGCGGCCTCAGGCCGGCCGGGTTGGGGCCGTTGGGACGCCAAGATTCTGAGATGAAAGTCATGTTTCCGTGCCTTGTGCCGCCGGCCGCACAGGGGAGGTGAGGGGGACTAAAGCCGCGTCCTGTTTGGGAACCAGAGAGGGGTCGGAGTCCAGGTGACAGGTCACTGTTCGGGATCGAGCAGGTCCCCGGCTCCCCTGGACACAGAACCGCCTGTTGGCGCGGAGCTGGAGGGCGGGGGGACGAGGACGGGGACAGGGACGCGCGCAGAGGACAAGGATGGGAGGGAGCACAGCCCGTCGGCCCCTGTGAAGGCTCCCTGGATTGCAGGGGCAGCCAGCTCTCCAGATGCCCCAGGGTATTGAGTTCGGAGTGTTTCCTGTTGGCGCAGGTGTCGTTTTAAAGAAACGTCGACCCGTGGGGACCGGTTCAGTGGGAGCGGTGCCTGTGTGCAAGCGCCGGTCAGCTCCAGGAGCTGGTCCGTAAGGAATCGGGGAGACACAGAAGGGTCGTACGAGCGGCGGTGGACAAATGGACTGGGCAGAGGGGTTTGCAGAAGGGTAACCACCAAGGAATGCTGGTTGTCCCTGGAAATCCTCGGTCAGCTAGGCACCGGCCTCCAGGGGCCCTTCCCAACCCGGGGCGCTCCCTGCTCCTCCCCCCTTTGGCCCCTCGCTCAGCTCAGTGCAGCGCAGCGCAGCGCCTCCGGCACTTCTAACCCTGGGGAGGCTTCCAGATGAGCTTGTGTCCCACACCTGCCTTCAGTGGTGGCCACCCTCAGGATGCCCCCGTTTTCTCTGCCTCGTCCTCCTGTCAGGTGGCCTGTATAGAACAGGTGCCCCCAGGCAAGTAGGGTCTGGCCAGAGCCCGGGCCGCTGCATGCACCCACGGGCTGATCTAGAACCCCCCTCCCATTCCCCACGAGGGACGGTCCCTCCCCCACACTCCCGGGCAGGAACAAGGCAAACAGAAAAGAAATAGACCATTTATTATTCACTGGAAACATCACATGCACTTTTAAAAATTTAAACTCTTTATTTAAACATTTCAATAGCATCTTATCAATTTGGTGGCGGCAAAAGAAGCACTACCAAAGACTTTGAAAAGCATTTACAAAAATACCGTGCACAAAGTCCTATTTTGCATCTTTAAAAATAAATATTCAAAATATTTCCACCCAACTCCCAAATTTAGTTTTATATAGGAAATTTTGATTTATATATTTATCTTGTAATATCTGAAACATCTGTATACATTTTATCCAACTTAACTGCATAGGCATTATTTAATTCCAATTCTAATAGTGAAAAAAATGCTACTTTATGTAGTCGAGGACAGTTGTGCAGTACACACAAAACTCCAGTCAGCACCATCACTTTCTGTTTCTGAAAATACAGTGTTTATGAGAACACCGAAAGAACGGTCTTAACCCAATAAAACTTAAATAATTTTTAAAACATCTGTAACACTTTAAGTGCCTTGCAAATATTTATAAAGTCTGCTCAGTAAAATAGTCTAAATATTAAATATTATTAACAAAACGAGTCTCAGGAATTGAGAATGGCCAAAAGTTGTAGTTAAGAGGCAAATCCCAACTAGAACCAGGAAGAAAGTGCCACCGTGAGAAAAAGGATAACCCTACAGTGTAATGGTGAGCCACACTCGATGGTCTCCTCAGAGAACCTGAAAGGCTGAGAGCACATTAGTGTTCAACTTCGCAGCAAAATTTAAAACCTGATGCCACGCCAAGATTGGATTTCTGGGCTCCTGGGGTCCAGAGTTGTCCCCCCGTCACCCTCATCATGGGCAGAGCCTTGCTGAGACCTGCCTGCTCCATTCACCAGAGCTGAGATCCAGACCACCCTCCTTTACATCAGACCAGCTTCCAGCTCAGGACCACATGAGCCATACTGAGCCTGTAAAAGTCTGTCTGAGAAGGAGCAAACTCAGCAGAGAAGCCGTTATTCCACACCTGGGACTGATATTAACTACTGGTGCTGAACAGGAGAGAAAGTTCAGAACTCTGAAATTTGGTGACATGTTTTTCCCTGAAAGAAATGTGCACTGGATGGAACAGATGAAACAGGTCTGCCCCCAAAGTCCTTTAGAAGGGCCAGTGAAAGGCTAAATACCAAAGCTTCAACAACACTTTGACCTCTAACCTCACTTACTTTGTTCCTGATGGTGAGAAAATACAAGTATCAAGAGCTTTATGTTCAAAACCAAATCCCCAAAATAACATACATGTCTTTGTGAACCGCACGTTCAGACAGATTCCCAGAGATGGGCTGTGGCCAGCGGATCTCAGGGAAGCTAGGCATTCGGCATGCAGTGTTTCCTGTGGACAGAAGAGTGAGCCGGGCGCCAGCTCCCACCGGCAATGGGCAGCATTTATTGAGGGGTGGCATCACCCCAATGCCCTAGGTGCCCTGGTGCGGGAAGGGTTCCAGTGTTTGAGGCTATCCTCGTATATACAAATGTACAAGAACTGACAGGGGAGTCTTTACTTGATGGGTTCTCCATGAACTCTGAACCGATAGAGACATGTGTATTCAGGATGGCCCCAGTTGGAGAAAATCCGCAGTTCCACTATTTGGAAAGCTCCTTCAGGTCTTTTCTGAAATCAAAGGGGGAAGAGTACAGTTAATTCACAGTTAACACCCCAGGCCCAACCACTTCTCCAACTCTGACATGTGACAAGAAGCAGCCACACTGGAAATCATCAGTACCTTTGCTGTCTGTTGTAGGACACAAAGCTCAGATAAAACGGACTCCTAACGAGCCATAGATTTACCTTCAGCTTCAGGAACAGGACACATGTATGCAAAGCAAAATAGATTAGAACGGCTCATCCGGGAAGAGCCAGGAAGCTCAGATTGACTTTTCTCAGAGGGGGAGGCCCATGTTGTACCCCTGGCAGTGCTGAGGTCGGCTGTGTCCTGCCACCTCCACCCGCCACCTCCGACAGAAGGAACCTTACTGGAACGTGAAACATCTGGAGTGACTCCCCTTCTTGATCATACGTAAACTGTCCCAGAAGCTGCCCTTCCTCTTGGTATTCATCTTCTAGTCCCTGAAACCAGAACCATGTAGTCATGAAATAATGGAAGAAGGACCCCGAGTTAGCTAGGACTGCTTCCCCCTGGTGTAATTTCCAGAAGGCCTGTTAAATGCTAGGCCCTTTGTTGAAGGCTTCACATGACTCACAACAACCCTGCCAGGCAGGTATTCTTCCTCCTGTCACACAGGTGAGGAAAAGCCTGCTAGAACTGGCAAGCTAACGAGACTGGGGACAGACTATCCACTGCACAGACCCCTTTGTCATCCATGGGGACCCCGGGGCCTTCAACGCTCCCAAGTGGAACCCTGGGGATACCCAATGAGTCCAGGGAAAGGACAACAGGCCGCCTGGCACAGAGGGCAGATGGGGGTGCCAGGGGCTGGCGTGGAATGGGGACAGAGCCTTGGTTTGGGAAGATGAGGTAATTGGTGAAGGACAGCCATATAAATGCACTTCATCCAGGGAATGCATGCTTAAGACAGGTCAGGGGTTGACTCTGATGTGTGCTTTGCCACAAGGAGGAAGTCACCAGCAGGAAATAGAGGTGACTGTTGGAATGTGTCATCACAGGAAAGGACTGCTCAGTGTGGGATGCATGGAAGCAACAATGGGACACAGGCACATGTGGCCAAACAGCATCAAGCCCAATACTGAGAAGTGTGTCTGTAGGGGACACGTGACATTTCTGTACAAAAAAACCTCAGATATATATAAAGAAGCTAAGATCCCAAAATATTAATGAAGAAAAACCAAAACCAAAAAAAAAAAAAAAAAAAACCACACAAAAACCCATGCATGTAAAATGCACAGCAACACAGATGAAATGTGCTGTTTCCACCTTTCAGGTTAGCATAGATCAGAGTAAAAGGGTGCAGGGAGGTCAGCATGGTTACCTGCAGGCACCAACAGGTCAGCAGCCTGCAGGCACTCCAGACCCCCTATGGCCTCCACCACCCCTCTGGCACCCTGGGTGCTCTCTTTGCAACTTCTATGTTGAAGTCTTCTGTCAATTCAGAAGCATACAGGTGTCACAACTGCCTTTATGGCCAAACGGACACATGCTCTCTGCAAACAGAAGTCTCCAGGTCTACAACGGCTGGGTGGCAGTGAACAAGCTCTCTAAAGCTGCCCTTCGTGTGGGACAGCACTGGAGTGGCCCCCTCAGAATCTGATCTGCTTACAGCACTGGAGGCTGAGGGCGGACAGGAGCCAGTGACCCCAGGAAACTGGTGTCCACGACCACTTCCAATGGGCTCATCTTTGGGAAGGCCCTGGTGGGGACGGTGGGGAGGGAGCTGGAACCCAGCACACTCACATAGACTGCGAAGTCCTTGGGGGCACTGGTGATGTTGCCCGTGGGCGACAGCGTCTTTGGTATGTGCTCCAGAGTGAAGGCGGTTGGGCGGATCTTCATAGACAGCCTCACCACCAGGTACCCCTGGGAGCCCCTGAATGCCCAGCAGTTACCTGGATGTATGTCAGGCTAGGGAAGAGGCACAGAACATCGACAATACATCTGACCCTCAAACAGCATGAGGCCTGGGGCACTGACTCCCCTGCACAGTGAAAATCCCACCTGTATCTTCTGATGCCCCTCACACTTAACCCCAAACAGCCTATAGTTGACCAGAAGCCATAAAGTCAACTTTATGTACAGAGCACATAAAGTTGATCAACACACATTTTGTATGCATGTCATCTGCTGTATTACAATGAAAGAAGCTAGAGAAAAGACAACATTAAGGAAATCAAAGGAAACACATAGCATTGTATTTATAAAAACACACCTGGAAACCTGCCTGCTCAGCTCAAACCTCCCCCTTGTTAGGGGTCAACTGTAAAGGAACAAGTCCTTAAGAATGTGTCTTGACAATTTAAAACTTAAAAAACAGAAACAAGAAAACACTAATACTGAAATAGAAAAAAAAAAAAAAACCTGCTCAGTAAAAAACAATCCTAAGCAAAATCAAAAGACAACCTGGGGAAAGGCATTTGTAGCTTCAACCCCAGAGGGTGGTCGGCTTCACGTCCAGCACGGGCGTGTGCCTCCTCACAGTTAAAACAACCAGCACCCTCAACAAACGTGGACAAGACAAACCTGTTTTTTAAAAAAGTAAATTTAAATGGTCTTCAAATACATGAAAAGATGCTCCACCCTACATAGTAACAAGAGGAATACACCATTTAAATGGTGGGTGTTACCCTTTCTCACCAAAAGATGCCTGCCGTGGGAGCGGGGGAGCGCCGTTTGGCAAGAGCCAGCACAGCTCCTTAGGCATCGACCCCTTGACCCAGCAGCAATCTCCCGCTGTCCATCAGCTACACTGGCAAAAATACAAAATGACAGGCTTAAGGATAGTGGTTGGGAGATGACTTCTAATAGCAAAACAGGAGCCAGCATACCTCCTGACGGGCCTAGCTGATGTGCTGTGCTGATGAGAACACAGAAGGAGCAGCAGGGGAAGGGTCAGGGGCATGGTGATCCCCCCACAACTTGATTATGCTTATGTTCATTGTTGGTTTATCCTTTGTTCTTGGTTTATGCATATTTTCTGCCTGCCCTGTGAAAATGGACCTGGGCCGATCATGCTTTGTCCACAGATGGTGCTGCCGGGGCACTACAGGTACCCTGGGCCATGGAGGCGGGCTTTGCCTGAGTTCCACCGGGGTGGGACCGTTTGATGGGGCCTGGGGGACACTATCTTGGGTGACCCCCTGGGCCAGAGAAGTAGAGCCATTCCCATGTCTGCTGTTCCAGATTCTTTAAAAACTCTCCTTACTTCTAACTAGCCAATCACCTATTCCTCCAATCTCATTACAGGTAACAACAGCTCCAATTCCTGTGGGCATTCTCCTGACAAAGCATTCCCTCATTCACATACATCTAACATCTCAAGTGCCAGCTACTTCCAGATCACTGGATTCATAGCGTAATGGACACAATGTTGTGGGCCAGCGTGGAATTACTGGGAACATCAGGAGCATCAAGCCCTCTACACCGTCTGACAACAGCACCACCTGATAGCCAAGGCAACGCCTGAGGGGTCCTGGGAGCAGCCACCAACGGGTGCCCAGGGGAGGCAGTGGCACCCTAGCAGACAGCCTGGCAGGTGCTTAGGATTGCAGGGAAGCCACCCACATGCACCAGACATCAGCCCGGCTGCCAAGGACAAGAGGACCAGGATGGCACCCGGGCATCAAAATTTTAAGTTTACTGACTTTTTTTTTTTTTAAGATTTTATTTATTCATTCATGATAGACAAGGGCGGGGGGGGGGGGTGCAGAGACACAGGCAGAGGGAGAAGCAGGCTCCAGGCCAGGAGCCCGATGTGGGACACGATCCCGGGACTCCAGGATCATATCCTGGGCTGAAGGCAGGTGCTAAGCCGCTGAGCCACCCATGGATCCCCAAGTTTACTGACATTTTATGTTTAGATTAATCTGTGAATTCTTGTTTTTGAATAAAAAGACAGCTATCAAGAGATGTTTTACACGAGAGGAATCATTTTAATTTTCTTCAAAAAAGTCATAATACAAAGAAGCACGTTAGGACTGAGGGGAAGCAAGCATACTGGCAATTTAAATTCTTCCTCCTCAGTCTCCATGACCAACTGTGTAACACAAGGCGCGCACAAGCTGCTGCGCAGCCCAGGGATAGCCCGTGGAGAGTCTGAAGCCCCAGCTGGTGTGGGGCCTCCACCTGCTCTGCCCCTTCACAGACCAAGGAAGTACAGCCTGACTCACAAGGGGACGTCCTCAGCCATGGCCAAGGCCACAACATGGCAAAAGCAACTCATGCTATATGGACGAACTGGCTGGAGAACAGGCTAGAGAAGAGAGCCAGCTGGGGTAAGAGGGAGAGGGGGGCTGGGTGGCACAGGGATGTTGCTTTGTGTGAACCCACCGAGCTGAGCCCTTGGGTCAGCACCCTTCATGCCACCAGAACAAGTGGCCCCAACGCAGCCCCTGGCTTCTGTCCCAGGGACACAAGGGGAGGAGGGGACCCCCGATCACGACTCACCTGGATCACAACTCGGGGGGACTGGGAGAAGTACCAGAGTGGGATCCCAAACAGGCTGATGAGCGCAGTCTTAGTCTCGTACGTCTCAGAGCAGCGTGTACTCAGGATGCTCCCACCTTAAAGCAGAATTCACAGCTGCCTCAGGGTCTTGCACCCACCTCTGACCCGCCAGGGACTTCCTGGAAGGACTCAACAGTCTCAAGTTTTTAACTTATCCAGAGAACTGTCTACTTCCACTTCAGCCCAGGCTCATGTGGACTCTTTCCAAGTTTGAGGTTAAAGTCTGCAGCTGCTTCAGGACACAGGCTTGACCTCCCAAAACAGTGCCCCATCTCCACTCTAGCAACACTGCCTCTTTCTAAGTAAAGAGCAGTGGCCTTGACAGGCGCTGGAGTTCCCTTACAGGTGCACGTGTGTCATGAGAGGGCCTGCTATCAATAGGCCACAGCGATGGGATGCTCTTAACAGCTGCTCAGGGGACGGGTGGGGGGATGGAGGGGTGTCTGCAAATAGGTCTAAGACTCTATTTAGGGTAACACAAGTATTCTGGAGTGAATACACTAAAAACACCAAATCATAATGCTTTAATAGGCTGAAATTTAGGTTATGTGAATTTTATGTCCATTAAAAAAAAAAAAAGGCATTTAAAAAAGCACCTCAATGGGAATAAGGCAGACAGAAAGGTGTGGGAAGCAACAAAAAATTCTCAAAAACCAAAACAAAATGATAACAGTAATATAATCACAGTAATATAATCATTGCTGAGAAGTTTGTATGGGAAGAGGCGGTAGCCCGCCAGAGCCCCTGGCCCCAGCACAAATGCAGCCGTAGGCCTGTGTGAAGACTCCTCTTCTGATTGTGAGCAAGTAGAACCAAGAATTTAAACAAGATGACAAGTAACTTTGGCCTCAATGATCATCAGACCTGAACTTCTGAACCTCTGGATTACCTTTTTAAACATTCTATCCTCATTTAAAAAAAAAAAAAAAAGTGTCCTTAAATATGGAAAAATTTTTTAAGCTTTTTATTTTTTTCATTTTTATTTTTTTAAATTTTTATTTATGATAGAGAGAGAGAGAGAGAGAGAGAGAGAGAGAGAGAGAGAGGCAGAGACACAGGCAGAGGGAGAAGCAGGCTCCATGCACCGGGAGCCCGACGTGGGATTCGATCCCGGTCTCCAGGATCGCACCCTGGGCCAAAGGCAGGCGCCAAACCGCTGCGCCACCCAGGGATCCCCTAAATATGGAAAAATCTTAAGAAAAAAATATTCAAACTTACAGAGTGAATGATTGCCTTGAGTAATGACAGAATTTTCAGCTCAGCGACATCAAAATAACCAAAATTCTAAATGACATATAAGTCTGTAAGGAACAGTTACACTCCTGACAAAACAATTACCCAGCTAAATGTTTAAGACAGCATTTGAAGTCACTGAATTTCAAAAATGTAGAACTCAAATCACTTAATATTCTAAAAATTGTTCTCCACAAAACATATGCCAACAACAGTTAAGAGCCTTCCTGACTCAGGGCCGACCCTGGGATGACGGGGGGGGGGGGGGGGTTGTCACATGCAGCAGCAGCTCTGGGCCAGGTGGGGCCTGCAGGGACCGGGCTCCTGACCAGGGGCATCATGTACATTGCTCAGCCATAAACTGAGTCACCGCAGCCCTGCAGGGTCCTCTGATCCTTCCACTGGCTGCCGCGCATGAAGAACCTCCTTTTCTGAGACAAAATGTTGGTCTACTAACTGTTGGTCTGCTAGTCCTAAATTTTAAAACTCAGAAAACCAAGATCTTTTGTTACAAAGATGGTGGCAAAACCTTCCCTAAACAGACATGATGTCACCGCTTTTGTATAGTACAGACATTCACCCATTTCCCCACAGAAACATTCCTGTGCTTGCTCCGGGGGTGCCATCCCCAACATCACCAAGGGGGTAGGTGACAGAAACGTGTGGACCACACTAGGCCACCGTTCTGTTCTGATGGCTCAAACACACATGGCCCAGAGGACCCAGGTCCCGAGCTCGTGCAGCACTTCCCTGACTTAACATGCCACATTTCCCTTCCCTTCTCTGAGGAATGGAAGCAGCAGCCCCATCATGAGGGAGCCATTCCCGTGGCTAGCTAGCTACAAGCTGTCACCTGGCTGCCCCACGGAGGGAATGCTCCCACAGGGCTGGGGCAGCCACCTGCAGCAGGCATGGACCCACACCGCTCACTAAAGGCCTAGAGGACACATGTTCATGCCACTGAGAGCTCTGGGGAACAGGTGGAAAACTGCTGCTCTAGTTAGTCACGGCACTTCTACAGGATCATAAACAATCAAATGTTTACTGCCAATGTTTCTGTGGCAGTAAATTCTGATATAGCTAGAAAAACCCAAAGGCTACTCAAATGCCCCCAAATTGGGATGTTGCTGATGTCCATCATTACATGGGCTTATGCCAAGTGATGTGTGAGCCACCAGCCCTTCTATGGGAGAACCCAATCCTTCTGTGGGAGAACCGATCATACCCTAAGGCAAGAGCATGAGGGGTGTACCTAGAATGATGCTCTTTCTCAGCTTTTACAAGTTCTAGCAGGTTCTAGACTATTGGGAAGTGGAACAGGCAGCAGTTGGTCAACAGGTGACCACTGTATTCAGTAACCAGAGCCATTTACTTACCACCGGACTCCAGAGCAAAGTCCACCATGCCAGTCTTATCCTGGGAATACAGCTTCAAGGCGTTGTTCACAATGACACGTGCTTGCTGGACATTGCCAAGTGCAGAAGTGGGGAGATGAAACTCAGCATTAATGGAGAAATGAAGGCCAGACATTTCTATCAAGGACACATTTTCAGTTCACTGTATTTGGGGATAACAGGCTTGGGAGTGTTCAGTCCTATATCCCACTGCAGGGGCTGTCACATGGCTGTGGGATGGTGCTGCCCTGTCACCTGGGCACAGAGCCTCGACAACCAGGAGCCAGAGAATCCATGGGTTCCACAGAATGTGGACAAAGCAAGAACTAGAGTTTGGGATGGAAGCCTGGTGCCATATTCCTGGGAAATGTGCGTGATTTCACAAGGTGTGTGGCCACCCAGGTGGATGGGAACTTTGGGACCGAGAGGGCCCCCCGGCAGCATACAGCAGCAATCACACCATCTCTGCACCCTAGGCTGCACCAAGCACCCCTGTATCATAACCATATCCCCGTGAGACTGTATCTGGCAGCTCAGTCACCAGCACCATCACGATGCGCACTGACACACTGCCAACATTTCTCATCGTGTGCTTACCGCTTCTGTAATTCCGGAAATCCCTGCCTCGTTTGCGGCAGATACTACAGTTTCAGAATCTGGGACCTGCTTTGTCACAGAAATGTAGTGCGTAATGTTCTTCAGGATCTGCAGCTCCAAATCCCGTAGTAAAACCTGCAGGTCATCTCTGCTCACGAACTGAGAAGAAACTGTCTGTAGCAGCCATTTGAGAGAACCACCCTGCTCCCCATCGGAGAACATGAGTTTGACAGTTTCTCGGACTTGGGCGTCTACCTAGAACCATTCACAAGTAGAACATGAAGTTACTGTAGTACTGTTCTAACGAAATCATCCAATGCTTCACCTGTGTCACCTTAACACCTCAAAATGATCACAAAGCTTCTCAAAAATCCATAATGTAAATGTGACAATTCTCTCCCTTCACATGGTATTTGGAAACCTCTCCAAAAATGCTGGAATACATTACAGAGAACAGGAACAGAAAAGCTCAATGCGAACCCAGAGAACCAAGGAGACAGTACTCCATCCGCCTCGTCAGCCTGCGCATGCCCCTCAGCAGACATTTAAACTGAGTCAGGTGCGGAGATGAAGGAGGACGGTCTTCAAACTCAGCCTGCTTAGGGACTGGTGCACCAACTGAAGTGTCACCATATGTATGACAGAAATGCCCTTGTGCATTATGTCTACACACCCCCTCTTCTTGCTTTATAAAGAAAGGGGCAGAGAGAGATGCAAAAGAGAAATGCAGGAAGGCCCAGCTTGGCCACACACAGATCTCTGTGGCATCCCACAGCATCAGTACCCTGCCACTCGGTGAGCTGCTGCCTCCAGCCCTCGGCCCCTCCAGCGCTAACCCTCCAACACTGAGCATGCCCTCCGCATGCCTTTCTGTCCAGCGCTTTCACTTCTGTTGGGGAAGTCCCAAGAGTGTGGCACTAGTTTCAAAAAGTGTGCATCTTCATAACTGGTAAATATCCCAAGACATTCCCCTGACCAGATTGTAGATATTCACAGTGCTGTCAGCCACCAGGAAGCCAGTCTCCCGAGGTCAGCACTGAAGCGACTATCCTCCCTTCCTCCTTCATGCAAACCCAATCAGTGCTACTGAGTGACCTGCTTACGTGCTTTGTCCACATTCCCACTGTCTCCTTTCCTGGCAACTTTAGAATTTCTTTGCAGGGTAGACATAATTTTATCATCTGTATCATAAATACTTTTTCCCAATCTACTATCCGCCTTTGCCTTACAATGATTTTTGCCATTCAAATGTTTGTTTATTCATGTTCATGCAGCTATAAATATGTGGACTCCCTGTCTTGCGTACAGATGCCTGGGACCGACAAAACACCCCTGATATGTGACAGGGTGAAGCAGAGATGCAGAGTGCAATGTGAATCTACTATGCTGAAAACACAAAACGGCCCACCCCCGAGTATGTGTTGGCATGCAGCCACATGCACATGAAGTGTAGGAAGAAGCAGGCCTGAGTGTGAATGTATTACAGGAAATTCCAGGAGAACTGAGTATTAACTATTTTATTATAAATGCTTAAAAACTTTAAATATAGAAAAATAAAGATTCTAAAGAAAGTTAAAATTAACTTAATAAACCTAAAACTTCAGCTGAAGTGTTCTTTTCCTTTTTGTGATAAAACATTATACAACTTGCCTTCCCATGTATGGTATCAACCTCCTCACAGCTGGTTTTCAAATGCTGCCAAGTGGACAGTTCTGATTTCAGATGACCCAGCTCCTCTTCCAGATGCTTAACCACAGAGAGGAGGCGCTGCTCTTCCTCAGCTCCACTGCCAGGTCCAGGGAAGGAGGGTGGGGAAAGAAGTCAGGTGTCATCAGCCATATAGGCTTAAACCAAACACGAGTAACACTCACGTGTAGGAGGAACCAGGGCCACCATGGCCAATAGTATACACACCTCGCCCTGTCCCCATAACACAGAAATGTACTGTCAGCCTCAAGTCAAAATCCCAAAGAGACCTTATGCATACCAACAGTTCACATGTGCGCACACACACACACATGGCCAAGGGCCCATGCAGGCTGTCCAACACATGCTACAGCCAGTGGCTCCCTTTCAGTGCTAGGAGAAAGCTCTCAAAACCATTTAGTATTTAAAACCTGTATCTTTTAAATAAATCAGTAAAAATCTGTCTATCCCAAAACTACAAAAAGATTTCAGAAATGAAAATATTTATCAATAATCACCATAACACTGAACATGAAACTTTCAAGCCAATGGAATAGGTATTAAAAATGTATGGCTTCAGAGTTTAACAATTCTATTTTTATATGGAGACTGTACATTAAAACGTAAAACGTTGCAATACTGTATTTGTTTATAGGCAGGTGTAGATGGTAAGACGATTCATTTCTCAAAAAAACAGACTCCAGGATAAATCTTTTAGGGTTTAGGATTCATCCACTGGCATATCAACACACCTTTTTATGGAAATAAAGGATCTGAAAGGGAGTAAAATGTATAAACACTCAAATCCATCCTTTGGGAAGGACATACGGAATCTGAAACAGGATCTATAAGGTACATAGGAGCCAGAGACAGGAGGTACGACGTGAAAGCTCAATGTCTGGTGTCTGGTTGTCCTCCCCCACCAGCCCCCAGCAGAGCCACAGGAGTCCCACCGAGATGCACGTGGGAGGGGTGTGCAGAGAGCCCGTGAAGATAAAATTAGGGCTGTGGGGGGTGGGGGGGAAGGCAGCTAGAGTGTAGGGGGGAACGGGAAAGTCCACACTTCCAGGAGAATCTGGGTCCATGGACAAAGGTGCCAGAGAGGAGCGGCCCCACACAACACACCCTCAGGAAACGGCTCAGGGGTAGGGCTGTGTGGATGGCCAAACAAATCAGGGTGGCACAGAGCTGAACACGCGGCCGGGACACTGAGAGCCAGGCACAGAGGTCCACCCGTGCCAGGGTCCCGGCTCAATTCCCAGCACTCCCTGGCAGGGAGTCTCTCTGTTCTCGGGTGGCACCAAGGGCCACCCAGAAAGACACTGCTGGGAGGGTTTCTACCAGAAAGCAGTAACCGGCGGTGCACAGTGTCCCCTGATAAATGACTGCTGCATTCCATGTTATACAAAAACACGCAAGACAAAGTATTAATTCATTTGAAAATTAGCCTACCTGGCTGTTCTCAGCTTGGTCTGTTCTAATTCCTTCTGGATAGCCTAAAAAGGACGAGAGAGAACTGTTTCAATACAGGAGTTAGACACTAACATTTCATAAATCACACATCTCGTTGACACCATATTTCTATTGAACTACATGTATTTATCTGTGATTTTTCTTCCAGACCTGCCTGCTTGGCAGTGGAGGGATCTTTTCAAAGTAAACTTTTTAAAAAAGATTATACCACTCATTTTTTTTTTTAAGATTTTGTTTTTTAATTCATCTCTACACCCAATATGGGGCTTGCACCCATGACCCCGAGATCAAGAGTCCCATGCTTTTCCAACTGAGCCAGCCAGGCGCCTCTCAAAGTAAACTTTTAAAAGATATACAATATATACTCAGAGGAGCAGAAATCACACAGGAACAGCTGATGATTTTCAAAATAAGCAGCTCCTGTCACCAGCACCCAAGCCAAGAAGCAGAACCTTGCCAAGCACCTCCAAAAAGTCATTTTTCAACAAGGAAGGAGAGAACCATCCATGGAGGTGGGACTCACCAACATGTCCATTCAGAGACAGGGGGCTGATGCTGCCACACTGCATCGGGAAGCCTCATCAGTTCAAACTCCAGCTGAATGAGGTCAGAACCCCCCCAGCACAAAGCAGAGCGAGGCCTACTCTCCTGGCCTCTTGCTTCCTTCTATGTGCCCCCCACCCTGTACCATAGATTCTGAGGTCACACCAGGTGACCAGAACACACCTGATTCCACATGTAGGACCCCCAGGGCCGCAGCATCCCACGTGCTTGGTGACTCCACAATGGAGCATACCATAGTCTCTGAGGCTCAGATCTGGACAAATATCCCAGCCTCCCTCCTTGGCTTCACCAATACCTGATAATCATAGCTTTTCCACAAGAAAATTAATGTTGTCTGTCAAAGATGCCTGCTCAACAGACAAGGTAACTCAGGGGGGAGATTGTGACCTCGAGGAGAAATGGGCTCAGGCCCCCCTCGAAAAGACACCCCAGAGTCTGAAAGGCAGACACACTTGTGAAACACAGAAGCAGTAAAATGAGCTCCAGGGGCAAGAGGCAACAGTCAGAAAGATTTTTCCTCGCAGGCTGACTGTGGGCACCCAGACGGACGCGGGTGGACGGACGCAGGTACTCTAGCTGAGGAAAGGTCGAGGTGCATACCTCAGACGTCTGCGTCAGCTTTCCAAGAATGTCTTCTAGGTTTGAGAGGCGCAATTCGTGCTCTTGACGGAAAGTCACGGTGTCAGTCTTGAAAAGGAACATACGTGCAAGTTAAGAAAGACCTGGAAGATGCTCCTACACAGAACCCCAAACCCAAGACCACCTGGTCGTAGCCTGGCCTGGTGTCCTGGGGGGGTGGCTCCTCAATGTCTGTACGTCCACCTGTAACCTGAGAGGTCATAGACCTGTGCTCACCAGGAGACACCCCCAGGGACGGCTCCCTGTTGAGGGAGAACGGGGCTACTACGAGCAAAGGCACACTGGACCGCTCACTGCACTCAAATGCACTTGCTGTGCTGCGACACCCAACTCAATACTGGGCCTGGCCCGACTAGTGCACCCCACTGCCGCACGTGTACCAGCTGACTGAAGTGACTTAATGACACCGCACATGTTACCCTCTGGCTTGTGAGGAAAGCATGACAAACCCATCAGGGAAGCAAGGAAACTGCTGAAAACCTGTAGTTTGCTCAACCTACACCCAACAAAGTTGTTCAGGATTCTGAGAAGGTAAAACTACATGCATATTGTCAGATACAGTCCCCAGCGAAGTCAAAAGATCCCTGCCAACCAGACACACAGCAGGGACGAGCACTGTGCGTCCAGTTACTGAGATCCAGGCCAGGAGATATGGACACCGAGAGTTCACTTGGAACTTTCATTATTGGAGGTTCCATTTGTTACTTAGACTCTATATCTCTTCCAAATTACAACCACAATGGTTTACAAAAGTTTGCATAAAAGTAAGGTTAAAAATAAGACAGAAACACAGGGACAAAGGTCAGCTGGAAAGATGAACCCAGGTTGCTGTCATAGAAAGGGCAGCCACTCACTAATCAGCCGTGAGCATCCTCACTGCCAAGACTCTCACTGTCTCCACCTGCCACCTAACTCCACGTCACAATCAGAAGGTGCGCTCTCTTGGCTGCCTGCTGCAGCAGCCATGGCTACATGTGCCACTGAGCACCCACAATGTGGCCAGCCCAGCTGAGACACTAATCTCACACTGCCACATGCAGCTGGTGGCATGTGCAACAGCACAGCACACACGCGCAACACATTCGCCAGGAGCATGAGGGGAGCACCAGGTGACCACAACTGTAAGATGAGTGTGGGGCCACTTCAGAAGCAAGCCTGGGATGGTCCTGTGTCAGGATCAGCATCACGGCCACACCTGCGTACAGGTAAATACTGGAGTATGGTGGAAGAAAAGGATAAATCTGTACTTAGCTCATCTAATTTAGAACCTCAATTTTAAGTGAGCCCAGACCGCATAAGATGTGATGGTTTAGAGTGGTTTAGAGAACACTAACACAAATTGAGGCTTCACTGCTTTTCTTTGAACTGTCATCTCTTCTCTACAAGAGAAAGAAATAAACATAACTAAAGGATGCCAGCTCACCACTTCTGTTTGCCTGTTCCAGGACGTCATGGTCACCCCATCCCTGTGGTGATGACAGTATTTCCGGCTGCCTCTGTTAAGAAACACTCCTTCAAAACAACATGTGCTTCCTGTCATGGCTCTATGCTCACCCAGGAAACGTCCTGCCTATAGGGACAGGTTTCATGATCTGCCATCAAGAACAGTCCTGTTTTGTTTTTCAAAACAGCTTCTCCCATGAGATGGATGAGCATCAAGCCTCCCCACTGCTCCCCCATCCACAAACAACCAGTGAAGTTCCATTCACTCCTTCCATCCAACAAAGCTGTTAAATGGCTACTAAGAACACACCAATCATAACTGCATAACTGTGTCAACTGGATCTGACTGAAATCATCTCAATTTTATGCTCGAGAAACTGAAAATAAGCAGACTGAGGAATCAACGAGGGACATCAAGTGCCAAATGCAAAGCAAACCCAGCTGACAGTGAAACTGCACTGAATTATGTTTAATCCATTCTCAAAGTAACGTGCGGGTCAGGAACAACATGCAGACAGGGCACCAGGTCACCCACAGCAACTCTACCCCCGACATCCACTGCTCCTGACCCCCACCCCCAGCCAGGTGCAGACTCTGCTGGCTCCTGGTCTTGAACGAGAACCAGGAAACCATCCTGGCACTCAGCACCCTACTCCCAACACCTGAAAAGCACGACCCCTTGTCACAGCAGCATGTCTCCTTTCTTCGTCCCCAAAAAGAAAACAAACACCTGAGAACTCCTTAGCATTACCTGAGAGTCCAACAGCCCATCGGCACTAATTTCCTTTAAATGCTGCCCTACCACACGCTGAACCAAGGACAGTGTCGCCTCGCCATCACCATCCATCTGGTCCACCCGTGCCTGCAGTGTCTGAAGTACAGTGGCCAGTTCTCTGAGCTTCTCTTCATGGCTGTGACACTGTCCAGACAGCAAGGTCATCTGCCTTTCTACCTCGCTCATCCGATGTTGGTGGAAAACCTCACCATCCTGCAACAGGGAGGGAATTCCAACAGCAGCACAAATGAAAAATTAAGCCTGGCATCAAATAACCTTAATGCAGTTTCAATCAAAGACACAAAACAGGGTATCACAGCAGAAAGTACCCCACAATGTGTGCAGACATCCTAAAGGACAGGACAGGATGATGTCTGTCATCAGGGATTTTCTTTATGGGGCCGACTATAGGGGGCTTGTCTTTTCTTCTTACTTTCTATATTTTCTGAAAGTATTGCCTACTTACTTTTTTCTTTCTTTTTTTTTTTTTTAAAGATTTTATTTATTTATTCATGAGACACACAGAGAGAGGCAGAGACGTAAGTAGGAGAAGCAGGCTCCCTGCAGGGAGCCCAATGTGGGACTTGATCCCAGGACCGGAGGATCATGATCTAAGCCAAAGGCAGATGCTCAACCACTGAACCACCCAGACTTCCCCATACTACTATTTTTTAAGTTAAAATTAACTGAATGAGATAACTTATGTATGCATTACTTCAACTATCTCAGAACATTTAAGAAGCTATAAGGCTTGCTCATTTGACACTTAACAATATTTTCTAAGCCGGGGCACCTGTTCTCTGAGGAATACAGATGTAGAATGCCAGAGATGGGAGCTTCTGCGTGGTTACCTGGCTCAGCTGAGAAGCGTCAGGTGTGAACATGCTCTCGGGGCTGTCCACCCGCTGGGTACCATATATGCGTGTCCAGTTGAACACAGGCAGGCCTGAAAGGAAGTCCCCTTGGCCCCACAAGGACAGACCACCACCTGGAAGGAGACAGGAACCAACTGCACTTGTGTGTACAGACAGTGCTCTATTCTTTCCCTAATTTACTACTTCATGTATATGCATTAATCATATAAGGTAACTAAGTCAAAGTTTTCTTACCTAGTAAAAGTAATAGTGGAATGAGCAAGATTAAAAACTTGCAGATATTTCGAAGGCACCTAGGAATAAAAAGAAAAATATTAACTTGGATAAAAGAAAAGGCAGGGTGTCAGCATTCTATTTTTATCTCTGGGTGATTTTATACAAAATATCCCCACCCTTATTTTAAAATGAAAATCTGAAGTGTTAGAAATGCAGTTACAGTTGCTTTTTTTAAAAGTAGGCTCTGCACCCAATGTGGGGCCCGAACTCAGGACCCTGAGACCAGGAGTCACAGACTCCCCTGACTGATCCAGCTGGGCACCCCAGAAACACAGCTACAATATCATCTAAAAGCTGTGTGTGCACCTAACCAGGGGACCTGTCTATAAAACAGTGTCTCCTGACCTATATTAACAATCAAACACATTCACTATTGATTGGCCTGGAGCTGGGCACTATGGTCACCCGGGACCAGGGGGAACACTGCCCCAGAGTGGGAGCCAGAGTCTGGTTCCCAGTCCTGACCACACCCCTCCCAATCTGTGTAATCCCTGACAAGGCACTTAGCTCCTATACACTGCTATTTTAACAATGACAGCTGCCTTTGCTTTCTCACAGGTGTGGTTTGAAAAATTAAACAAAAATATGAAAACATTTTGTAAAATATAAAATGATATACAAAAGGCAAGATATTAATATACCAAACCATAAAAGCAATGTAAATATAAACTAAATCATTATAAAATGATGTTTATGGCTCAGGACAATGAAGCATCTGCCTTCGGCTCAGGTCATCATCCCAGGGTCCTGGGATCGAGTCCTACATCAGGCTCCCTGCTTTTTCCCCTCCCCCTGCTCTCTCTCTCTCTCTCTAATAAATAAGATCTTTAAAAAAATAAATGAAATTATATCCTGCAATTAGCACAGTTCTTAAACACTCGAAGTTGACATGACACTTGTTTCCTTACCTTGTAAGAAGAAACACATTCAGCCACGAAATCAAGGTAACAAACTGGTACCATCCAATCCCGAGCCACCAGAATATTCCAGAGGCTGCCTTCCCTAAAAGAACAAACACCAAACGTTCTAAAAAAGTGCTCTTTGGAAAATCAAACTCCTATGTGGACTGTTTTGTGAAGGTCACGCAAGAAGCACAGGGAAATCTGCTAACAAATATTACGTAAGCATATGAAGTTAGGGAGGACACATGTTAGGAAGATGTCAATCATCATAGCATATATTCAAACACAGGAACATCACTAAGCACACAAAACAATGTGTAATGCTGAAACACAACACAAGCTACAATGAGGAAACACCAAATCCATGCATTCTCAATTGCGGTTAAACCGAGCAGCTGGACTGACGCAGAACGCAACACAGCAGAGAATGTGGAATGCTCATGCACCTAGAAGCACGTAGGTTAGCACTTCTCAGTAATCAAGAATGAAACATGTTATATCAGGGAGTAATGCATGTAATCCTAAGATGAAATTTTCATTTGGTTAGCTCGATATTAACTGCAGGTGCCTAACTGCTCAAAGACTTGCAGAGAATGCTGACACAGAAAGCCAAAATAACCACCTGGAGCGACCATGGCCAACCAAAGAACGCACAGCAGTGCCTTCGACACAGACCATCCAGAAGCTCCGATCCTTTGCAGCATCTGCACCAACAGGTGACCTGCGACAGATAACACGTGTGCGAGAGGGCCACACTCAAAATACACCAGAAACCAGCTCTCCACAGTTACAGTACAAGAGGCCTCCCCTAGTATGCATTTCACCAAAATTCTCTCAAATCAGCCAAGAGCCTCTTCTCAGGGAAAAAAAAAAAAAAACAACCAACCATTTTAAGTCCAATCAAGACTCAGATTCACTTATGAAAAGCTGCTATGTGCCCAATGGTTGTTCCCTTCCTCCTGCAGACACTTCAAATGTGACATGCAGACTCTCCTGTGAAACCCCACATGTTCACGGCTGGTGCTGACAGAACCTGCAGCTAAAACTCTGGGGACACCAGTAGGTAACATGCTCCAGGTGAGACCAGCACGACTCATTACATTAGACCAAGATCAAAATGACCAACATTTTCCAGTGAAATAGTACTTTGGGATCATAAAGGCAGTACCACTGGATGATAGAATAAGACAAACTTTGTATCAAACATCACACATTACATAAGGCAGAAAAACTGCTTATGAAATCAGTTTCATTTTTTGAAGAGTAACTGCTGAAATTATATATACCTATAAGGAATTGTGTGTTGACTCCTGATAATGCCTAATTATGAAAAGAAATATGATTTAAGGGAATTTTTTTAATTTATCATTTTATGTTTTATTACCAGTTAAGAGATCTTTATTAAAAACCTGTCTAGGGGGATCCCTGGGTGGCGCAGCGGTTTGGCGCCTGCCTTTGGCCCAGGGCGCGATCCTGGAGACCCGGGATCGAATCCCACGTCGGGCTCCCGGTGCATGGAGCCTGCTTCTCCCTCTGCCTGTGTCTCTGCCTCTCTCTCTCTCTCTCTCTCTCTCTCTCTGTGACTATCATAAATAAATAAATTAAAAAAAAACAAACAAACCTGTCTAGGGACACCTGGGTGGCTCAGCGGTGGAGCGTCTGCCTTTGACTCAAGGCATGATCCCAGGGTCTGGGATTGAGTCTGACATCGGGCTCCTGCAGAGAGCCTGCTTCTCCCTCTGCCTGTGTCTCCGCCTCTCTCTCTCTCTCTCTCTCTCTCTCATGAATGAATAAATAAAATCTTAAAAAAAAAAAAAAAAAAACCTGTCTAGGGGCACCTGGGTGGCTCAGTGGTTGAGTGTCTGCCTTCGGCTCAGGGCATGATCCCAGGGTCCTGGGATCGAGTCCTGCATCAGGCTCCCTGATGTCCTCTCTCCCTGTGTCTCTCATGAACAAATAAATAAAAATCTGGAGAAAAAAAAAGCTGTCTAAAAATGGTGCCCCTTTGGTAAGAAACTTACAGGTATAAATTGGAAAACCTCTAACTTTGCATGTACGTCTCCTTGTGGTAAATGCTCAGGAGACCGCAGTCTACGGGGCGATGCTGTGTGTCCCAGTGGATCAACTCCCCCAAGGGAGGATCACCAGCCTTTCTAAACCTCTTATTTCACCTCAAGCAAGCTACTTTTCAAACAGTCTCTGTATTTTAAGCTAAAGTTAGTATTCCTGTCTGTTTTTCACAAGTACTTGACTTGCCAATACAAACAAGGAATTACGGCATTTGTGAAGAGCACATTAAAAACAAAATAAAAAGGTGCAAACAACAACCTGTGTAAGAAAAGATGTGCCAAATGGCCCCTGTCACCCTTTTTGGACTTGAGGACTGCTGGCGGATAGCTCTGTGCATCTCAAGGAGCTCCTTCCCCTTAGAGTCATTGCCTGTGGGCGGTGGTGACAAGACATTAATTTGACAGATTACTATGCAAACCTGGTCAATCTGAACTGTGCACAACAACAGCAGTTTGAGAAAATTAGGAAACTCAGTTATGCAAAAAAAAGAAAAAAATGAAAGCAAATGCAATCTGGTGGCTCCTGGTGTCCATTAGAGTTCAACAAGTCTGCATTAAGCAAGGGGGTATCTGGTCTGCGTCAGCAGCCTCACATCACCACCTGTGGGGAGCCGCTGCCACTACCCCGTGAGCCCACGTGACATGAAGCCATACTTACACATGGACTCCCCATGCACACTGAGCTGGCCGTCCTCTCTGAGAAGCCCTCCTACATTCACTGTCCCACAGTGATTGGAATGAGCTGCAATACACGCAAAACAGGCTCAGAGACACTGGTCGAGGCTGAGTTCAGATGCTTCCCAGATGCGGTCAGAGAGCATGCAAGGCCAGCCTCCATGACTTAGGTGCAGGTGAGGCTTGCAGGGGAGGCAGGTGGCAGGGCTGTGCTAGGGAGAGAGGTCAAAGCCCCACCTGACCGAACAAGGCACCACACCCAATGCAACACAGAGAGAGGCCCCGCTTAAAAATGGCTGGAAACAACTACATTCTAAATGCCATTCAAATAAAGTATTTCTGCTTTAAAAAGGTAATAATCAAAACTTGAATACTTTTTTTAAAGAAATAACTAAAAATGCTGAAACACGGTTCCACTTTCAGAAAACGGAACCAGAACAAGACACATGAAAACTTCCATCAGCTCCCTCACAGGAAGACCCCAGCAAAGCACCATAAGAAAGGCTGCGGAAGAGCACGAGAGGAGAAACATGGATGAAGCACCACGCTGGGAAAATAGTATTTTCTCCACCTTGAAAGCATTATCAGGTGGAAAAAGGAGGAAAAAAATTATTTAAATACCTTTTGATTCATGGCTTTTTGACTTATAACTTTTTGATTCAGGATCTTTTGATTCATAACTTTTCAATTTGGAATTTTCTGATTCATAATTGAGCTTCATTAAAACCACTCGAAAAAGTTGGACTAAGAATGATGACAAGGATGACGAAGTGTCCTTGGCCAGCCACAAAATCCTATCCATGTGGAAAGGGGCACCGCCTATTGAAAAACCGTGAACACAGTTATTTCTTCCCACAAAGCCATTTACTCCCCTGAAAAGTCAGATAGCCAAATCATTTTAGGCAAAGCAGAACTGGCTTTTTAAACATACACCAGGGAGGATAACTTAAGAAGAGCCGTAATGACACACGTCACTCTGCCCCATGTGGCACAGGTCACCTCCAGACAGAGGCAGAGCTATCCAGCATCCCTGCACTAGAGAGCCAAATGCCAAGCCTGGGTCACAGGCGCACCCCCCACAAGAGCAGTTCTGAGGGACTGCACCCCAACCCTGCCTCCATACACTCCAGAGGCTAGGTACCTGCACAACAGCCACCCCCGTACTCTGTCACCTGCTTCAGGAGCATCCACTACAGCATGTGCCTCAGAGGACACTACAGAGAGCATTGGCATGAGCACCTAGAAGGAACAGGCCTCAATGGACCCCAGCTCTCCTCCATTGTCATCACTGCCCACAGCTTCATAAGACACAATGGAATCTCTGACAACTATTTCTCTGTGAATCTGCAATGTCTAAGGTGATAGTCAACAAATTATGGTTGCTAGAAATTTTTATCCCTGAAAAAAAGTTTTCATTGAGTGTAGACTGGGGAAATGCTTCTGAGACTCATCCACTCACTCTCCTGGCTCAGTGAACCCTGAGTTCAGGTGTGGCATGCAGCCACCTGGAACTTGGAGTCTGAGTGGGAATGATTTTCAAGCAATGTGCTTTTTCATGTTTTCTTTTTCAAATAGCCTACTTAGTAACCTACTTGTGATTTGGAGGCCCTTACCAAAGCACTCATAGAACCGGGGCTAGCCGCAGCCCTCCACCCCAAGCACCAGCGCCAGCTCTCTTTCTCACTGTGCTTCCCAGGTGTCTTTTACCCTGTACTGAAAACTTCAGAGAAACTTACTTGGAGGTAATGCATGGTCTGTTCTGCTGATAAACAGAAATACTGGAATTCAATTTTTAACCCATGGGACTGGCAAAATTTTGAAAGCACAAACAAATGAAAAACTGACTAGACAATATGGAATTAGGATGCTCATATCACCATAGCAAGAGAGCCATCTGGGTCAGTCCTTTGGGAAGTCAATTGGAGAAATCTATTTAAACTGAAATTTACAATAACTTTTTTTTTCAAGCAGTGATATGTATTTAGGAGCTGAAGACTGGGACAGATTTTAAAATATATTTTCTCTAAAGACTGAGGCCGGTTCAGGAAGCCAATGCTGCTCTAAGTGACCAAGACAAATGACAATTTTTCAAAGTAGTGACCTGTCTGTCCTAAGAGGATTTATGTGTTGCCATAGGCAAGACGGAGAACAGAGAATTCTGAATTTGTCTCAGTTCTCAATTTCCTGGGTGCCTCCCTGTGAGGCCTAGGAAGGTCCCTAGAGTCCACCCTTCCATGCTTCCTGGGAGGAACCTGGCCTGTCAGGGAGCAGACACCCCATCAATATCCAGCACAGCTGGGTGTCCCAAGGAAAAGACTTCCATGTCTCTTAAAGCCTTTTTGATGTGAACCAGAAATTCACGTTTTGTCAAGGCTGCACTCCTTCCAAACTTCAAAAGGCTCAGACTCAGAAACTATACTGCTGAAGCGGGTCTGTAAGCTCAAATGCATCTGTTCTACTTCTAGTTTGTCTGCTCTACGGAAGGATTTGCCCATGTACACTAAATACATATACACAAGGAAACACACCCAGAGAACATTTTTAGAAGCATACAAAACAGAGGGGTGCCTGGTGGCTCAGTCAGTTCAGCATCCAACTCTTGACTTCAGCTCAGACTGTGATCTCAGGGTCTTGGTTTGGAGCCTCATGTCAGAATCTGTGCTCAGTGGGGAGTCTCTCTCCTTCTGCCCCTCCCTCTGCTCATACATGCATGCATATGTGTGCACGTGTGCTCTCAAATAAATAAAATCTTCAAAAGCATCAAAGAGAAAAAAATGTGAATTTCCATCTAGACAGACACTGATTAAATACATTTTGATACAACCATAAATGCAATAGTAGATAAACATCAGAACGAATAAGGTCAACCTGAATTGGCATATAAAATAGAGTTGCAAAGCCATATATGTACTATGATAGCATTTAAGCAAAACAGAACAAACTACGTATATCTATGGGTACACAAAAGCAAAACATAGGTAGCAGTCGCACATTGTGAATGTACCAAAAAATGCCACTGAATCGTATTCTTTAAGATGATGGACAGTTAATTTTATGTTATGGGCATTTTATCCCATTATAAAGAGCAAAAGAATTTGCCATGATCTCTTACTAGTAGCACCAGTTCCCTCTAGAAAGGAGACCAGAGGGGGATGGGCTGGGACCAGGGGAAGGAACTTTTATCTGTACTATTCCAAGATTTTACCACCAGACTATTAAGTAAAAACAAAAATAATGACAGAGAATGTGTGTGTGTGTGTGTGGGGGGTAATTTATGCTTGAAAAAGAGTTGTATGTGTTTTCAGTAACTGCGGTAACACTCAACAATTCACGCAGTATGGTCTCCACCAGGCAATAGCAGGAGAAGCCAGCTGGACCCCACACGAGTGCAGTCACCTCTGGGTGGTAGATTACAGGGAACTTTCATTTTCTTCCTTGTGCATGTCTGTCATTTCCAAATGTTCTCTGATAAACACTTTACCCAAATAGGAACAGAAGTTTTTAAATTATTGCTGGTCATACAAATCAGTGTTATAAAAGAGCAATGAACTATAAGCACAGAAGCCCAAAACAGATAAAAATATAGCTTGTTTTCCCCTCAAAAACATTCAAGATCAATTCAAGAAAGTGCAAGACTTCCAGAGGCTACTGCCAAAACCACACCCAGCACTTTTTAATCTGAGCTGAGGTCCAGCCACCAACCCCCATCCAGAGCCTCAGGATGAAGACCATTGGCTGTTGGTAATAAACAGACGTGAACTTTATTTACCATGATGCGGGTCAGCGGAAAGCAGCAAGTGTTTCTACACATGCTCACTGATCTGCAAACACTGTTCTCGCACCAGCTTACAGTTGGTAGAATGTACGTTTACTCAAGCTTCAAAACACAGCCTCAATAAAGCCAGACACATGGCATGTTGGTGGTTACGCAGAGTTCAGAGACAGATGCTGGACCTGGCTCCCAGGCTCCACCCAGATGGTCAGCCCTCAGGAGGCGGCATGGTATCTCGGGGAGAGCACCCTGGTGGCAAGATGCCTGGGTCTAGGTCCCAGCTCCGTCACTTCCCGGTAAGCCTCTTAAGCCGGCCAGACCTCAGTGTGCCGGTCTAGAAGACGTGGGGGGCTACAGAGCTGCTGTGCAGGCCAGGGAGACCCAGAGTACTCTGCGATGCTGGCCTCCACAATCCAGAAGGCGCTGCCACCTCCCCCTTCTGCCTCCCTATTTTGATATATTAATGCTAACAGTGTCAATTACCTTCAGTAGACAGAACCAGAAACTTGAGTCACAAGGATAAAACATTGGATGGAAATAACTCTCAGTCTTGGTAGCGTCCTTAATTACATCAAAATAGTTCTTTGAAAAATACCGAGTGCCCTCAGGTGTAGGGCAGAGCCAGGAACTGCGACAGATAACTGGCCCTGTCCACTTGAATATGCCCTCAAGCCTAGCCAAGCAAACTGGGGCCAAAGCCTCGGGAACCAGCGCTCCCTGGCCTCCCCACACTGTGGGACTGTGTAAGGGAACCTGGACAGGGATCTGTAGCAATGCTCTCCCCCAGGGCCCCAGACAAATATCAGAGCCAGCAAGCCCTAGGCTCAGGAGGACACCCCACGGGCCTGCCTGGTTGCAAAAGCCAGCCATGAACCTCCAGGGCTACCTCCGAGGACCTCCCTATTCAAGTAAGTGTGGCCAGGCCTCTGAAGCCACTACCGCTGAGGAAGGGGCCATGTGCCCACTATGAAGACTCGGTGTGGTGGCTGCTGCCACACCCCAGGCCCAGCACCACACATTCCTGTGGAACTAGCCACAGAGCCGCCTTTCCCAAGGCCAGGAACTCTTACGGAACCACACAGAACACATGCTCCTCAATATCAGGGGCGGAAACCCCTTTTGTGGCAGAGGCAAAAGCACCACCACGAAGCCATTCCTCCCACAAATTTGAGCATCCATGACTTGGTGTCAAAATAGTGGCCACGTGGTGCCACCAGCTTTCCCTGATGATGGGGTCTGCCTTTGCTCACCCGAAGTTCAAATTCCCAGAACTGCAGATGCTCCCAGGTACAAAACGACTAACCGCAAAAAATGTAAATTCAAAGAGGATGAAGAGGAGCAAAGTTAATTTTTGGTGATAATTAATTTCTTAATTATCAGACAATTTTGACTTTAAGTCAATGACAGAAAACACTGCAGATGCTAACAGACCTATCAAACCAGGTTTATAAAAGTGAGTAGAAATATCAAAGACTCACGTTTCTGACCCTGATCCCTTGAGTAGAGCCGTGGCGATGGCCCGTGGGTGGCAGAGTGTGCTGTGAGTGTGTCCTTGCGCTCGGATAGCAAGAGGCAGTCACTACATGTGTAGCCATTGCTTCTGGCGGCTTCTGCTGCCAGGTCCCCATTTCCCTGAGTGGCAGCTTTATTTCCACCTAAAGTTTGCGAAAAGTAGAGGGAACTGGTTTAGTGCAATCTGCAAATACTTCTCAAAAAAAAAAAAAAAGCTTCCTCTTAAAAAGCGTGTAGAAAAAAGGGACTAAGATAATTACCTTTAAGATCTCCATCGTCGTCAAGACCTAAAACATACACACACACGTTTGCTCATGAGCTCGAATTATCAAAGCCCACACACAAAAAAAGTAAAGGTTACAATGGTTAATAAATCAGCATTCTAGGAATGGTCAAGATTTATTCCCTGAAATGCCTACAACTACTGGAAACTCCTTCAGATATATGCAGACATGATCTTGTGACTCAAGGTGAAAGCACATCTCTGGAGACATGACTCTGGAGCAGGTGTGTAGCGCGCGCACACACACACACACACCTGAAGGGAGGGCAGGAAGACAAGAGCCTGGTACAGAGGCGCAGAAGCCCCGCCAGCACCATCTGCTTTTCTGTCACCTAGGATTAACCCTTGCTAGCTGAACAAACCAGAACAAACACCAATCCTAATGCTGCCTTAAATTAGCACACCAACTTTTGGGAGGTAATCTGGGTCTTCTAATCTTCCCAAAGGGGCCAACCAGAACATGGAACGGACACAGCAAGCAGCTGCATGACCAGTGGCAAGGATGGGGTCACACTGTTGTGGCCTTAAGTCAAGAAGGTTCACAAGCCACGCTGCTTCCTTGTACCAACTTGTCTACACAGCGTACTTTCTAATGACTCAAAAATACTGCAGCTGCCTCATTGCTTAGAGCTGTCTGGAACCAGAAGATTTTTATAACAACTGTGATTAACCATCCTACAAAAGTAACGTGTCTACAAAGAGTTATCAGATTACCACCTGACTCCTTCCCCTGGTTCCACGTCACAACAAATGATTAAGCATGAGCACAGTGGAAGTAGCAGTCATAAGCCACTGCCTGCATTCTGTATTTGAGTCTAGAGGAAAGCGTCAAACCTTCTCCCACCCATGAGAGGCAGGTAACTCACCCCAGAAGTGGTCCACTTTGGTCTGTTCACGGATCAGAGACTCATCCAGCACAGGAGGCCGGAGACAGGCCGCACTGGACAGCGTGCTAGTGCCACTCTGGCCCACACCACAGGACACCACCTTCCTCGAGGTGTGATTAATACTGAAAGCTGGTTTGCTTGCACTTCTGCGTTGCTTTACTGTTCTAAGAAGAAAAAAATAAAAGGAAAAAGTTCATAGACTTTTGCTAGCTAATACAAAAGGATTATATTTTACCAACACAAAAATCTTTGAAAATAAAGAGCTTTTTAAAAAGATTTCATTCAGGGCAGCCTGGGTAGCTCAGCGGTTAAGCGCCGCCTTCAGCCCAGAGCATGATCCTGGAGACCCAGGATCAAGTCCCGCGTCAGGTTTCCTGCACGGAGCCTGCTTCTCCCTCTGCCTGTGTCTCTGCCTCTCTCTATCTCTCTCTGTGTGTATCTCATGAATAAATAGATAAAATATTAAAAAAAAAAAGATTTCATTTATTTGACAGAAAGAGAGAGCACAAGCAGGGAGGAGGGGCAGAGGGAGAGGGAGAAGCAAACATCCCGCTGAGCAGGGCTCAATCCCAGGACCCTGAGATCATGACCTGAGCCAATGGCAGACGCTTCACCATCTGAGCCACTCAGGCGCCCAAATATAGTATTTTTAAGGCAAAATTTTCTTGTCTTCTCTACTACACTGAAACACCCATTAACCTGAAACAGAAATCCTCAAGCTGGGGTCCCAGAGCTGCTTCTAAAATTGTACACGGAAGATAGTTTTTAGATTATTTTGAGCCCCACAACCCAGAAGGGGTTAAAACTTAAAATAATCTAATTAAAATGACTTAAAAGTAAAAATGATGATTTATAAATTTAACCCCTCCCCTTTCCACAACATGTGCAGCATGCACACATTCCCTGCTTTATTTCTCCATCCCTGGTAAAGATGGAACTACATTAAGGACAGTGAGGCAAGGCTGCAATCTCATCTCTGAACTCACATTCAGCTCAGATAAAAACAAAGCCCCTGAAAACAAACTATGAATGTTGGCAACAGGTCAGGGCAGGGAGAAGCTCCTCCCTCCTAAGGGAATGAGCAGATGAGAGACAGGACACGGTAACACACCATTGCACGTGAGCACAGAACATCCGGACCCTGGCTGTGGCCTCGTCAAGTGGCACAACACCAGCCTGGCCGCAGTGTCCCCACGTGGAGTCACCCGGGGTCCTCAAGGGCACCTCCTGAGTCTACTGAGCTGCAACCTCCCATTCTCTCATTCTCTAAATAACCCGCAGTGAGTGTGAGACACACAGGCCACAGCAGGAAGAGCATGGCCGGCTGCCAGCACACAGCCTGGCTCCAAGATAGCATTCCACTGCCCCTCTTGGTAGCGACCACCCAATCCTGAGTGAAAGACGACCATTCAGACTGGAAACTTGTCATTCTATGTGAGCAATGGAACATGACCTCTAAAGGACACAAGATTTTTTGCGTTGCTTCTTCTTGGATATGTGCACAGTGAGCTCAGAAATCAAGCAAGCACAACCACGAATATAGGTAAACAGCTAAATTTCATGGATGCGTCTGTTAGTTCACACAGATTTTAATGAACAGACTAAGTGTTAATAATGCAGAGCTCATCCATGGTGCCACACGATCGTCTGGTAAGGCTACTCCCACAGACAACACTGGGAGGTCAGCTGTATAGACGGGCACTGTGTCTGCCCCAGGGTCTGAGTAAAACCCAGAGGAAAGAGAAGATTTGGCCAATACAAGAACATCTATACCAAACAAGCCCCATGGTCCAGAATTAGCTTCAGTCCTGATTTATAGCAAAGCTACGACTTTATGGGTGAATTTGTATGTGTGGACACGTATACCTAGACACAAGAGTGTGGTTTTTCAGACCAGAAAGTGTGCACGTTCAGTTTTAATGGTGCTAGAACGTGCTTAGTAACACGGGAAGCAGCACTTACCGGGCCGCTCTGTCCTTCAGGGAGGCAGTGCTACTGGCGCAGGAGTGAATGTCCCTAGCCTGGCCATCCTCCGTGGCACATGCTGTAGTGACCAGCCGCAAACTACGGCGGGACATTCTTGGAGAATCAAACACGGGGTCCAATCTGTGCTCAGTCTCGAAAGCCAGAGCATCAGAGGAATAACTCGAACTAGAAGGAAAAAAAAACTTTGTCAGTGATAAATAATGTAGACAGCAGTTTCTAAAACATACTGAGCAAATAATGAACATAATGTGTACTGATTTAGTGCAGATCTTAAAAACAGCCATGACTCTTCTACAAAGCAGAAGTCACCCAAATCGGTCGACAACTTATGCTTACTGCACACACACTGGCCCTGCCATCTGTGAGACGATTCCCCAGGCACCCCAATATTTCAGTCCGGGGCTGACCCTAACGCCTGCTTTAGGATAAGTGCTCCCATGAACCTGCACTTATGGGGAACCATGTCAACGTCATTAAAGAACCAGAACACACTTACTAGAAAACACTATGCCTGACAGAGGAGTTAAGGAGACAGTGAGGGCAGGACAACTAATCCCAAAAGGCAGAAGAGCAGCAAGACCCTGAGCAGTACCATAATGTCACTCTGTGTCTAACTCACCACAAAGCCACAGAACAGCTTGTCATAAAGTCACTTCAAGACTCTTCCACATAATCATCCTAAACTAAAACATGCATTCTTGGCGCCATTAGCAAGTTTTTCCAAATCAAGACATGTTACCTGAGTGTCTATCATGTGCCTAAACCGGGATGGAGGCCACACTTTCTGATCTGCCCAGACCATCCAGGGAATGGCTGTGTGGTCATCAGTGAGGACTCCACAGCTACAGTTGGAGATGAGCCACACTCCACAGGGAAGCTGTGGTGAGCAGAGGGGCTTGGGCTGAGGGTTTCCCAGCCAACGAGGGAGACAAACTTGCGCCCGCCTCGCTGGAGGGACAATAGCCCCTGCTCAAGGGGGGCAGACAGGCTGAGGGCCTGGAAATCGACAGAAACCACGATGAGGCTCTCAAGGAAAAGAAGTGGGGTATTATGCTTTATATGATAAAAGTATTTTCAGAATCACATTCACCATAAATATATTAGATCTGACACTAAAAACTCTTCAAGTGAAGCAACAGTAAATAAACACAAGCTGCTCCAGTCACCACAGGGCTGAGGTATCATGCACAAGTTCAGGAAGAGCCCCTTCTTGTGCTCACCAGAGGCTGCTTTAGGGGCTGAAATGTCCCATACTCACCCACGTTGAGTATATAGCAAGGATGCTAAGCGTCATTTGGGTATAATCTGAAATAGTTACTTGAGATGCCTGGGTGGCTCAGCGGCTGAGCATCCACTTTCAGCTCGGGGTGTGATCCCGGGTCCGGGGATCAAGTTCCAAGTTGGGCTCCCTGCGAGGAGCCCGCTTCTCCCTCTATGTCTCTGCCTCTCTGTGTCTCTCACGAATAAATAAATTTATAAATAAAATACGGTTACTTTTTTCCAAAAATATTTTATACAATTACAGTCGTAGTTTAAGAAAATCTGTTTTTTCAAGTCAGAATTTATCATGTGTCTATGGACCAGTGCCCTCCACCAGCACATTCTTCCTCTTCATCTAAGGAGAACCATTGATGAGCAACTTAAATATCAAAAGACAATGATATCTGAGTCCACCCACCTCTGTCCAATCTGGAATATGCAGACAGCAAGCAAGCTGACAGCATCCACAGAACTCTACACCCAGCCCAGCCCCACAGGCCCCAGAGGCTCCAACCTGGGGGCACTGCTACCACTGCGTAATCTAGAAGAGGCCCCAGCATTCCAACACAGAACCTGGAATGCCTTGGCCATCAGAAGGGTGTTCCAGATCCCTGTTAGTGTGATTAGAAAGACCCTGGAAGAAGCAAACACAAGAATATCAAAATAGCAGACAACAGGAACTGTCCATCGGCAGAGGAAGCGTTAAACATGAGGCCATTAAAAATCATGAAAGAGGGACACCTGGGTGGCTCAGCAGTTGAGTGTCTGCCTTCAGCTCAGAGCATGATCCCAGGGTCCAGGATTGAGTCCCACATCAGGCTCCCTGCGAGGAGCCTGCTTCTCCCTCTGTCTGTGTCTCTGCCTCCCTCTCTCTGCCTCTCATGAATAAATAAATAAAATCCTTAAAAAAAAAAAAAACTGCCTACATTGTTCAGTAGAAAAGGACAATATATCTAATAATCTAATATTAGATATATTCTAATATCATCCTATTTATATTATGACAGACTATATAATAGAAGCACATGGAGCGCCCACTGGTTAAGTCAGTGCAGCACGGGACTCTTGATTTTGGGGTCGTGAGTTCAAGCCCCACATTGGCCTAGAGCCTACTTAAAACAAGGAACAAAAAACAGAAGCCCAGATTCTTACACACATATAGGTAGGTAAGGGCACAGAAGAGACCTAGAAAGTCTCTTCGAACTGGTCATAGTTGGTATTTGGAGCTAAAAGCAGGGAGGGCTCAGCGGAAGCGATAGAGAAGCCAGCAACTCTGGGTTCTGAGTTTGGACCCAGCTGTCTGGCAATCCTTCCCAGGGAAGGGGCTCACACAGGCCACTCGGGTCTGGATCTCCATGCTTATCTGGTACATTAGGGACCCACACCTGCATTGGTGCTGTGGTCCAGGGACCCACACAGGCCAGTGGCACCATCATGCCCTAGGCTCCCAACCATCATTCCTACGAGGTTCCTATGGACAGATGTGCCAGAGCTAAGCAGAAAGTGCAAACATCTGCAGGAGACACAAGATACAAGGCACACACCTCAGGCAACACTTCAGCAAGTCTGGTGTTAAAAGTGCAAACTGCAGGACACAAGATACAAGGCACACCTCAGGCAACATTCAGCAAGTCTGGTGTTAAAAGTACTTTATTATAACTTTATTATAACTAGGATATAAAAAGAGTACAAAGATCCCCAAAGGAAATGACAGACTGAATCCTTCAGAGCAGATTTTAGTTTGGTTCCCTCATCAATTAAATGTTGTTCTTTAAAAAATGCCTGTTAGTTAGATGCACTTTTAATTAAAAGACTAGAGAAAAATCTAGCACAGTTGAAAGAAGAAGATACAGATGCTTGGCAGCCACAAGCTGTGCAGCAGGATAGTGCCATGGGGCTTGTGGCCCCCAATCCCACAAGCATCCAGGGCCAGGGCCGTGCAGAACTCCAGTGTCCTCATAAGGGATAGGCATTATCATCACAGCTCCCCCCCATAGCCCCCCCACACACACTGGCTATTTGCCTTTCGGTCCCAGCAGCAGACAACACCCCGGGGATGAACCCAGCTGTGTCCCTGTACCAGATGCTGCAGGCCCCAGACAACCACAATAACGGAGTCCCCAAGGCCAGCAGGTCCTCGCTGCTGCCTGGCACTTCCCGCCTCACCCCTACCTCACTGCCACCCCCATCCCACCCTGCTTCACCCCAGAATTGCTGCTACGGCCCCCTCTCAGGTGGAGCCTAGGCCACACTCGTAATGGCCCTCTCCCTTCCTTCCTGCTACAGCGGATGCTGCCATCCTAACACCCATCTGGGCGCTCTGGGCTGGGTCTCTCCCACTCTCCAGACTTGTCTGCTGCCTCTTCCCTCCCCTTCAATCCTTCTGTGGCTCCCAACCATCTGCATCTGGACACAATCTCATCTGTCTCCATGGCAGGGAAAACAACAATGAAACATCCACAGAGCCAGGCCCTTTCTCTTCCCTGACCAGGCACACTGGTTGAAAACATTGTCTACACTCCTGCCCCACGGGGCTGAAATCACGGGCGATGCCCCAGGCCTGGTGCTGGCTGGAACCCTCCTTCTAGGAACACACTGCCCTCTGGGCATCCCTGGCAGGGACTGTGGTGTACCTACCAGAGGCTGGCACAGTCACACACCCTCCCCTCCTCACCCCAGCTGCCCAAGCTGGGACACTTTTCTAGACTGCCTGCCTCTGGAACATGGGCTGCCACCTGAGCTGGGGTCTCCACATCTTTGGGTGTGTGTGTGTGTGGGGGGGGATTCTGGAGGGCTTCTGGGAAAGACTGCCTCCTGCTCAAGGCAGTGTCCCAGTGGCTGCATCCCCATCGCGTGTGGAGCTGGGGGGTTCCTTAACGACGGTCTGGCTCAGCCTCTGCACCAAACCAGGTGCCAGGGACCCCCCCAATAAGAAAAACGTGCAGAGTCCTGGCAACAAACCAACCAAACCTGGCACTGATCAGACTCTACATCTAACCACAGTGCACAGAAAACACAGAGGAGAGTCCTGTTCAGGTTGATTGAAAACAGAAATGCAGATCCAGGGATTGGCACATCAACTTTGGTATATTACAGATATATCAGAGGTTATTTTAAATTACTAGGAGCTTTTTCGTGTGATACTAGTATTCCGGGTAGTTGTTTTTAAAGTATCCTAATCTTTTTGAGATGTGCTTCACAACAATGCACTGGAGACAGAGGGAAGGGCCTAGTGCCAGAACAGTTGAAGCTGGGGGGGCATATGACTGCCCCCCCCCCACGACTTGCATGCTAATGGTAGTCTTCACAGTAGAAAAATAGTTTAAATAAATAAATGGAATGACCAGGACATTGGCAGATCCTCTGTGTGTCTCCTGAAGTGCTGAGAATGAAGATCAGAGTGGTGCTGGATGCTTGTCAGCCAGGGGTGCAGAGTCACTAGAACTGAGGGAAGGGCATGCAGTGAGGCCAGGTACTGCAGGGACCAGCAGCTTCCAGGGGAGCTGGGGGACTCAGGGAGGGGACACAGAGGCACACATGGGAAGACAAGAGACATAGTGGCAAGGGCAAACTCCTTTCTACTGTCTACCACCTGGCCCCTTGGTGCCTGGGGCACAGCCCTCTACACATCACGCTGCTGACCACACCCTCACCTCCCCCACCATGTCCCACAGTCTTCCGCTGACCGCTCTTTTCTCCCCATCCTCCCGTCTTCCCTCCTCACCCCAGCTGCCCAAGCTGGGACACGTCCCACCCGCAGCCTCTGGCTCAGAACCCCCAGCGCCCTGCCCATCTCTGCCTGGGGCAGGCCACTGCAGCATCACACCCCCTACCTCCTTCCCACCTGCCAGCCTCAGCATCCTTCTGAGCACAGGCCTAATCACACCACTGCGGGCTTAAACCCTTCCCTGGTTCCCACTGCCCTGAAGCCCAGGCCAAGCTCCCAGCACAGGCACTTTCCCCAGGTTGCTTCTCACCCATTTCCACACCAACGCACCCATCTACCTGCAGGAAGGCTGTGGAGTGGGCATGCTGGAAATCATAGTGCTGCTTCCCTAAGGAAGATATTCACATTGTATTTAAAATAGGTTCTAAAAGCTAAAAATAAGTTACCAGAAGTTATTTTTACACTCCACAATACAGAATAAGGAATAATTTAACTTGAGTTGAACCACTCCCTTCTTCTAAAATAAACCAGGACTTTTGATGAAAACATTCAAAGGGTAAAATAATCTAGAATTATGAATAAAAACTCAATCATCAAATATGAAGTTTGACTAATGAAGTTAAAAACACGTTTGTTAAAATACCTTCTAGTTTTCTTAGTTTCCATGATATTTTTACCCTTTAGTAGATAAGCATTGAGAAACCCTGAAGGTCTTGTCAGAACAAAGCTCTCTCCCGCCAGGTCCCGCCCAGTCCCGTACATTCTCCCCCACCCAATCCTGTATGCTCTGGCACTAACCCTGGCTTCTAGCTCTTCAGTTTCATCTTACAATCCTTTGACCTGGGGAACTAGACATGCAGGGGCCACCTGGCCATTTCAGACTCATGTCAGAATAAACATAGAAAACTGAGCATCTGACAAAAGCTGCCCCCAAGACCTTGGGCTTCATCAAAGTTCTGTTGATGATACCTCTTCCTCTCAGAGGCAAATCTGTGAACTACAAAATACTGAGCCATTAATAGAAATCACAGAACCCTGCCCATAACCACAGAGATGTATCCGAGAGACCAGAGCCACTGGGTGGGTCTGAAGCAGCAGGACGCTAGCTATGACTCACCCTGAGTCATCAGAATGTTTGGTTTTCAAAACAACCTCACAATCTCCATGTTGGTGGAGTTTCAGAAAGCCAGAGCACACTGGGACCTCCGCAGCTCTTTCCCTCTCAAAATACCAACTCTGGTTGCAAGCAGCACAGAGCCCCCTCAGCTGCAGGGCTGTCCCAGGCATCCAGGAGTGGAGAGGTGATGGGAACAGTGATGGAGACGGCGCCGGAACGCGAGCACGCTCACCTGAGTGCATACGTGTAGCCAGTGTTCTCAGGCACGCACTGAGGAGGAGTGTACATGTGAAGCCGAGAAAAGTCCATGGTCACGGCCTCAAGTCATACTGTAGAAGGCGGGAAAAAGCAATGCAGGGTGTTAACAGGGTGGAAACACAGACAGGGCCTGTCAGAGCCAACCCCAGACGCACACCTAGGACTCCAACATTACACAATCCAAGTGAAACAAACCTCGTGCCCGTTTTTGTTTTTATTTTTTAAGTGAAGGAGACACATTTTCTCACAGAAACAAGTCCTGTTGTGTTCAGTTCCCCAACACTACACTCCAGGAGTGAAAGGGGGAAACCCTACATTACTCATAATTATGAAAACCAGCACTTGCAAAAAGAATACAGTGACTCAGACTCCTTTTTAAAATGTATTTTTTAAGTTCCTAAAGATATCAAAATGTTCTCATTCTTCTGTAATAAGTTTTCATTGTTATTAACTGAACTAGAACAGCTCCCTCATCCATGGTCAAGCACTCACCCTCGATGCCCACACTGGCCCACACACACAGTACCAGGAAACTGCTGAATGACACACACACGAGCCTAAGGCACTTTTATTTTCCTCCAAAGAACTTAGATTTTTTAAAGTGGTATATTTTTTAATTTTTATTTATTTATTCATGAGAGACAGAGAGATAGAGAGACAGAGAGGCAGAGACACAGGCAGAGGGAGAAGCAGGCTCCATGCAGGGAGCCTGATGTGGAACTGGATCCTGGAACTCCAGGATCACGCCCTGAGCCGAAGGCAGATGCTTTAACCACTGAGCCACCCAGGTGTCCCCGATTATTTTTTAATTATAAAAGTTTGGGGGATGCCT